AAATTTTTACCCCAAACCCACCCCCAAACCCAACCCCAAACCCCAAACCCCAAACCCTAATTATTAAGTGCAGTTTAAGATATGGTTATCACTTTCTAAATGTTTAAAAGACTATGAGTATTATCAGGATCTAATTAATAAAGAAAAAATTTTGGTAAGAGAATAGAGATCACCACTATCACTGATTGTTTAATAATTCCTTTGACGAAAAACCAAATTGAGGTTAGATAGGAATTTAATATACAAGATGGAAGATTATTAATGTGGAGATGGTTTAGTTAGTATTCTAAAGAAAAACAAACAGTTAAAATTATTAAAATACTATTAAAAATAAACTCTAAAAATAATTTGAAAATAAATAAAGAAAAATTAGCCATTATTAAATTTACCAAAATCTAATTAATATAAAGTCCGAAAATATTTACGAATTAAAGATGTTAAAAATCTTAAGAAAAGGAAAACAATGGTAAGACCTATAGAAAAACATTGTAATTATAATTAATTTGAGAAATTTGAAATTAAGAATAAATGAAGCCTGATGATTTTTATGTTAATGTATTTATCCTCCCTAATAAGATTAAATAATAATAATATAAATCTATGATTTACATTTAACTTAAAATGTTCATGAATAATTAATTTTACCTTGATCAAAACTTTAAATTATAGGTTAATTAATTAATTATTCTTTGAATTTTGTCTTTATGATTTCCTAATTCTGGATCTAAATTAAAGATAATTCATAAAAATCTTCTAGATGTTTCTCTCTCTTTAGACTAAATACACAATTTTATTGTAATCAATGCATTATATGATATGTATGTTATTTATTTTTTAGATGATTTGTCCCAATTACATAAAAGTGAGGAATTATATGAGAAATAATCTTAAAGGGGAAGAAAGGACAAAGAGTCAAAATCATTTATTTGAATAACAAAGTCCTCATACACATTTTGGTTACCATTTCAATACCATTTTTTAAATTTATAATAAGAACTCATTAAGAACAGTATTTTGTTTTTGAAAAACTAATTAATAGTAACTAATTAATTAAGTACTATTTAGCTGAATGATTTTTATGTAAAAATCTATAATATTATATTCTAATATGATCAAATGATAAAATAGCCTAAAATAAATGTTAATGATGTTAGTATTAACCTTTAAGCCGTATTAGTATTATTATTATTTGTATCATTGATTGTGTTATTGACATTACTACTTGGCTAATCTTATTTGGTACAAACTTAGCATTTATTTGTTGCGCTGTCCCATGTATATGCATATCCTGAAAGTCTAAAACAATCAGTTTAGTTTAATGTTGAAGGATCAGTGGCTCTACACATTCCATTAATCAAGGAACATAATTATTATGATTATTTATCCCAATTAAAGAATCTTGAACAAGTTCCACACAAGGCATTATTTGTAGCACAGGTATGACTTGTACATTTACTTGTAACATTAGAAGTTGCTGGACATCCATGAACATCTTATCTATATGCTAGCTAAACAAGCAGTTTAGTCCTTATTTGCAGATGAACATAGAATTCATCAAAGTACAAGTCCCGCTATCAGTTATAGCTTTTGTAGAAGTTGATTAATTAAATACACAAGGTCCATCTAATCCACCAAAATTACAAGCAGCTTTAGTTGTATAAGTTGAACATTTTGCCTTTGGGATACAAATAGTTCCATTTGAAAGACAAGATTGTAAAGCAGCTTGGCAAACACTAATTGATATTCCATTCTGAATATCTGCACAAGAAAGTAATCTACATTTGGCTGTATTATTATTTGTAGTAGAACCAACCTCCCAAAAGCAAATTCCATCATTTCCAACAGCTGTTGAACAAATAATTTAGGTAGAATAACTAGAACAATTTGTTTTAAGTAAACATTTAGTACCATCTGAAGTACATGTTGATAATTAAGCAATTACAAATTGAATGAGTAACACCATTCAAATCAGAGCAAATTTAATCTCTACAACCACTTGTACTCAAATCCCAAGTACAAACTCCTGTTGAAGTTATAACACCAGATTCAACTACAGATCCTTTATCATTTACCTAACATCCTGGTTAGGATTTATATGTTGAACATGCACCTAAAGGAATGCAACCCGTAGTTCCATCTGTTGTACATTTTTTATTAGCAATTTAACAATCTTTATGAGTTGCATAAAAGGCATCTGCACATGATTTAAATGGTTTACAAATCTTAGGATCAGAAGAATTCAAAGCAGGAGCAGATTAAATGCAAGATCCATCATAACCTGTAACACATCCACCATCAATATTTGTCTCAGTACATGTAGTAATTCCAATACAATTAGTTCCATTAGTTGTACATTTATTACTTATCAATTTACAAGATTCATCACTATTCCAAGCTAAACTCTTGCATGATGTATATGCAAAACAAGCTCCTTTTGAACCATCACTATTGACAAACTTCTCAATCCATAAACACGGTCCATTTGTACCTTCAATACAAGCTTCTCTAATAGTAGTTGATTCACAACTTTATACTCTAGCACATCTACCATTTGGTCCAGCAGTACATTCTTATCTTTAAGTTTAACAAATGGCGTGAGTTGTTCCTATAAAATCTTGACAATCTTTATCTCTACACTTATTTAATGTATAATCCCATGCACATATTGTACCATTTAATGCAGTTATACAAGCTGCATTTATAGTAGCAGCAGAACAACTTGATTTAGTAACACACCCACCTCCACTTTTTGTTGTACAATTTGTAAAATACTTTGCACAATCTACATCTGTTTATAAACTAATTGGGGCAGTATTACATGTTTTAATTGTACAATATGCTGCAGTAATTACAACATTTTGAGAATTTACAACATCTGGTATCCATTCACAAGATTATCCAGTAGAAGATACAACACATCCTGCTTTATTTTAAGCTTAAACACAAGTTCCTCTGGTTACACAATTAATACCATTTGTTGTACAAGTAGATAAGGCCTAGTTGCATAGCTCATCTGTTTTTAAAGCATAATCTTCACAGATTTTTATTTTGCATTTTATAACATCTATTGTACATCCATATAAATAGTTATTGCATTATTCAGCAGTAGCTATTTCTTCAGGAGCATTTTCACAAGTTTTAGTAATACAATCTGATTTATTCCAATAACAAGGCTGTCCAGCACGATTGTAGCGACATTATTGCTCATTCATTAACTCACAAATTTCTGGAATATCTATACATCCTTATCCATTTAAAGAAACCGTACATTTATTATTGAAATAGGCTTTGCATTTTGCATCATTATCATATTCTGATGTGGCAGGAGCAGTAGAACAGGATTTATCATTGCATTCTTTTCCATTCCAACCACAAGGATCTCCAACATCATTTATTTTACATTATTCACTATGGATATAAGTTGAACAGGCTGCAGTTTATTAACATCCTCTTAAAATTGGTTATGCTCCATTGTCACCTGGACTAGCATACACCGTACATCTAATAGTTGATCGTATTATAATAATTGAAGCAATCATTGTGAGTTAATATTGAAGTAGGAGCAGTTGTACATGACTTATCTTAACAAGCAGGTTCAGGTAAACTACTATTTGTATTCCAAGCACAATCTATTCTACTAGCATTAACTCTGCATTAATCCTCAATAGTATATGAACTACATGGTCCTCTTGCCATACAACCAAGAACAGCTACCTTATTAACAGCTCTGACTGTACAAAGTAAATATTCATCAACTGTATAGCAGGCATTATGAGAATTAAATAAATTTGAAACTTCTATATTTGCACAAACCAAATCTACACATGACTTAACAGTAGGATTCCAGTAACATTTTTTATCATTCATATCTAATTTACATTATAGTTATGTTTTATATAATGAACAGGCAGTTCTGACTTGACATCCACCTGCTCTTGCAACTGTACAAGCCTATGAATAATTGGAGCATTCTGAATCATTATGAGAAGCATCTGATGGGGCTGTGTCACATCCTTTTCTAATGCAAATAGAATTAAACACTACACAAACTCCTTCTATTGCATTAAAACATATAGTTGATTTTTAATCGGAACATTTAGTAGCCATAATAATACAACCATTATTAGTCTAATTTACCGTGCAAGTTTTTAGCCAAGCAAAACAATTATCATGATTAAATATAAAACCTGTGGCATTTGCACAAGTCCTAGCCATACATGCTGTACTTCCATTTACAGTACATCCAGCTTTGATTGTACTACAATTATCATGAGTATAATTGCCTGTTCCTAAAAATACTTTTTTCACAGGTAGAAGCACTTAAGGCAGGTACACATGCTGAATCATTACTAGTAGATGCAATACATAATCCTTCTCCTTGCTTGATAGCAACCACTCATAGCAGTTGAATATGCAGAACATTATGCTGCTTTTTAAACACAAGCAGTCTTAGCTCTATTAACACTGCATCCCAAATTATATGATTAACATATTTCATAAGTTAATGATACACCTGTAATCTTAGCACAATCGGTAGAAACATTTAAAATAGTAATACAAGTGTTTGAATTATAGAGGTAGCATTTTGCATTTATAGATGAAGTACAAGATGCAGTTGTTCCTGAATATTATTCGCATGTTGACTTATAATCTTAACATTAAGTGCCATCATTTACTGAAGTACAACCTTTGTTATAAGACTAACATATATTATGATTCAGATTAGCCCCAGTAATTTTACTACAAGTGGGACTTGTTATTTAGTAGCAAGAATTTTCATACCATAAACAGGAAGTACCATTAGTTAATGCAACACATTAATTCTAAGTTGTATAATTCTTACAATTTGTCTAAGCATGTTAACATCCAGTACCATCCTTTAGATTAATACATTCACTATTATATTATTAACACTTTGCAAGGTTGAGTCCTGTCTTTCCATTTACTAAGCTGCATTAAACTGAAGGATTTGAGAAATCATTGCAATTTGATGAGCCATCCCATATGCAACCTATAGGACAATTTTCTTTTAAAGTATAAGCTGAACAAGTGGATTTCTTTTCCTAACAAGCAGTTTCTGAATAGTTAACTGTGCAATTAGGATTATATAAAGCACATATATCTTTGGTCAGATTGATATCAGTTACATAAGCACAATGAGTAGTAACATTGGTGACAGTGATGCATGTCGAATACCATAAACAGTATCCTGCTGATCCAGAATCCTACGACCTAGTGCAATTTTCACTTTTTGTATAATCCGCACAACTGTTTTTCTTTTCTTAACAAGAGGTTCCTGCTTTATTGACTGTGCATCCATTGTTATAAGAAATACAAATATCATGAGTTAAATTTGTACCAACTACATATACACAGTCAGTAGTTACATCACTAATAGAAGTACAGCTAGATTTCCAAATGCATTTAGAACTTGAGGAAACAGAACATGAATCCTAATTTTGATAATCAGAACATGTGCTTTTTTTATCTTAACAGGCAGTCCCATTTTTATTTGATGTGCATGTAGAGCTATACCCAGAGCAATCGGAATCAGTCAAACCTGAAGATGCAGTAATGGCTGCACAATCAGTTAACAATTCTCTTGCAGTAACACATTTTGAATTGAAATAAAGACATACATTAAAAGGAGATGCAGCAGCTGAATATGTGCAAGAGTTTTCTGTTGTATAATTTGCACAAATTGCATTTCTTTCTTGACAGCCAGAATAATCTGCTTTGACTGTGCAACCACTATGAAAAGATACACAAGTAGCATCGCTAAATTACTCGTTAGCAGGTTTCAAAATATTTGTACATTAAGTAGCAGGATCTGTAATTGTAGTGCATTATGAAGCCTTCCAAATACATCTAACTTTAGATTATGAATTTCCTGCATAACTACACTTAGATATATCTGAGTATGATGTACAACTTGATAAAAGTTGTTAACACGCAGTTTTCTCAGCATTTGCAATGCAGCCAGCATTGAAAGTAGCACAAAAATTATCTGTTGTTGTAAAAGAGGGGTTTACAATAGCTACATTCTAGGTATCGCATTAACTGGCAGATGTTATTTAATAGCACACAGCATCTTTGCTCCAACCACAGAGTCCAGCATTTCCATTAGTTAAAGTTCTAATACAAGATTACGCTTTGTTAACATATTCTGCACAAGCAGATTTCATCTAATAGCAACTCTTCATGTTTGAAGTGGACCAGCATTCTTTAAGCAATCCATTGCAATAAGTACTAGTTAAATTAGTACCAGAAACTGAAGCACATTAATAAGGACTTGTTAAAAATATACATTTATTATCTATCCAAGCACAATAACCATCATTTAAAGATTTATAACAAGTTTTTGAATCTGAGTATTAATTACAATTTGATTGAATTTATTGACATCCAACTGCACTAAATTAAGGGATGCAAGAAGCATGATAATTAGCACATTATTAATCTGTAGCAAAAAGAGAGGTTAGGACCTTAGCACATTGATTAGCAGGGTCAGTCACATAAGTGCAATTCGAACCAGTCCATATACAAAATCCTGCCGTACCAGAAGCTAAAGATTATTAGCAATCACCTTCTATATCATAATCTGAACAATTAGGCTTTTTTCCATAACAGCCATCTCTCGTTATTTTTGTTGTACATAATGGATTAATTGAAGGGCAATAACTGGCAGTTAAATCTGTTCCTGTAATATATTGGCACAGAGAACCAGATGTAAATGGTTAACAATGTGCCCCATCCCAAATACAACTTGCTGCTGTACCTAATGCTAAGGAAGTTGTACAATACTATTCTTCTGTGTAAATACTACATGAACCTTATTTTATAAAGCATTCAGACCCATCTTTTTTAGCCGCAAAAGCCGGATTGAACTAGGCACATCTTGCACTTGACATTTAATTGTCCTTAATAGATCCAGCAATTGTAGCAAGTAATGTCATTATACTACAAATTCCATTATTCCATATACATTTTCCTGCTGTGTCAGCTGCCTATGATAGAGTACATGAACTTTTAGTGAAATATAAACCACATTAAGCTTTTTTCTCCTAACAGCCTGTCTTTTCGTAATTTACAGTGCAATTATCATTATAAGTAGCACAAAATGAATCGGTCAGATTTGTTCCAGTTATGTAGGAACAATGAGTAGCAACAACTGTAAGTGCAATACAAGCTGTACCACTCCAAACACATTAGCTTTCTTTTAAGCTAGCTGCAGATACTGTGCATTATTCTTGAGATCGGTATAAAGCGCATGTAGCTCTCCTTTCTTAACATACTGTATTTTATTTATTTACAGTGCAATTTATGTTATAGCCATTACATATTTAATGAGTAAGATTTGTTCCAGTAATTGAAGAGCAATTAGAAAAACGAATACAATCGGAACCATTTAAATAGCACTTACCTTATTACGACACTGTGCAATTAACAGTATTACCAGTATAAGCAGTGCAATTTTCTTTAAATTCTTAACACCCATTTCCATTACCTAAAGATGTACATGCAATATTGTATGCTTAACATTTAGCATGATCAAGTCCTGACCCACTTATAAGTGAGCATTCAGACGCTGAACTCACTGCTTAACAACTTGGTGGTGTGGCTTTATTCATGACACAATTTGCTTGTGTTCCAGTTGCATTTGATTTATAACAATTTGCTTCTGATGTCCCATATTCTGCACATGTAGATTAAATTATAATACAACCACTACCATTCTTTTTAACAGAACAGGTTGGATCCACATTTTAGCAATCTTAGAATGTCAATCCACTTCCAATTTTTAAAGTGCAATCCAATGTACATGTAGTAAAACTTCTAGCATTGGCTTCATTTGTACATCCATCTCTATAAGCTTGACACATATCTTGTGTCCCTTTAAATGTAGAACAAGTTCCTGTTGCTAATTCTGACAATGAGTAGCATATTCCATTTATCCATTTACAATCATCTAGACCTGTTAAATTTGATAAAGTCTAATGGCATTAACTGGAAATCTTGTAATTCGAACAAATTGGCTATTTTTGAACACACCCTTACCCTCCTATTTTTGCAATTATTGTGCATCTCTCATTTTGTGTGTTGTAATTAAGGCATTCTTTATCTGAATCAAAGAGGTCAGAATCCGGAGTGTCATCACAAATTGCATTTCTACAAAATGTTCCTGTCCAATAGCAATTTAAGGATGTAGAAGTAATTTTACAATTGTCTTAAATTTTATATGAAGAACAAGCAGAGGCTAAGGGAAAGCATGCTGTACCATCATCATTAACTGTGCATGATTTTAATATTGTATTGCAATCATCATGTGTTGTTTATATTATATTTGTGCATAGCTTATCGACACAATTAGTTCCATTCCAAAGGCAATCGCCATCAACTTTAGTTTGATCTCCACAATTTTACTAGACTAAGAGTGAACAACTTGTGGGCTTAGCCATGCATCCATCTTAAGTGTTATTTTAGATGCAAGGATATACTATTTTAGTACATTAGCCTAGATAATTATGGGAAACGCATAGAATCATGTACTTTTAACAATTCCTAAAAGTGAATTACCCATCTAAAATTGGATAATCTCCTGCATATTAGTTATATCCTCCCTTTATGTTTGCAGTTGTGCAAGATTGTTCAACACACATTTTAGCTAAAGGATCCCATAAACAGATTGGATATCCTAAGGGAGTAATATTGCAATTGTAGGGCGATTTTCTAGCTTCGCAAGTTTTAGGTAAATCTTAGCATCCTTAAATAGTTGAACTTCCATTTACTGTAATAGGATCATTAGCCACACAAGGAAATAAATAAGCTAGACATTCGAATGTTTATGAAAGAGTTTTTGGAGCAGTAGAGCAAGTTCCATTAACACATTAAGATCCTGTCCAACCACAAGATTTTTTATTAGCCTTTATTTTGCAACGCAGCTTCGTATTGTAATTGCCTCACATTTGAGAGGTAATGTAACACATCCTTTTCCAGTATTACTTAATGTGCAACTTTAATGATAAGCTTAGCATTCAGAATGAAATGTTTAGAGAAGTCGAAGCCATTGAACATTGTCTCTTATAACATCTAGCCCTCCAAATGCATGTATTGCTGTTTATATCTTTATTACAAGTTGATTAAGTTAATGAATTCTCACATGTTTTTTCTACACATCCTGTATTTGTAGAATTTACAGTACAGGTATTCAAAAAAGATTAACAAAGTTCGTGACTATTATTACTATGAGGGAGCATTTACACAAATTTTGTCTTTGCAACTTCCACTTGCAACATGCCAAAAGCACCAGATTGCAGCCTAATGAATTTTTGATACAAGCAACTTCTATTGATATAAGTGAACAAGTGGTGTTTATTGTGCATCCACCTCCATTTTTGGTTATACATTTATTTGCAGGTAAATATGTTTCACATGCATCATTTGTATTCAATGTTATAGGAGCATTGTCACATGTTCTCTTCTGACATCCTCCTCCTGATTAAACTGTACATGTTGATAAATAAGAAGTACATTAATCATGATTAAGTATTAGATTTTGGAGCATTTACACATGTTTTTTCTTTGCAAGTTAAATCCCCAAATACAATCGAAATTATTGATGTTTTTTAACACATGCAGTTGAAATATTAGCAGCAGAACAATCTCCATTAAGTACACAACCTCCCCCTTACTTAGTTATGCATCCTTTTGAAAATGCAGCACAAACTGAATTAGTTGTTAATGTAGTTGGTGCATTTGAACATATTTTATCCACACATGTAGTTCCAGTCCAATAACAATCTTCATTTGTACTATTTTTAATACATGCAGCTTATTATTGTAGCAACTTAACAGGTGGTTCTAGTGATACATCCACCATTTAGTTTTGTTGTACATGATCCATCAGTTTTGAATAATTTACAAGAATCATCAGTATTTAAAGTAGTAGGTGCATTATCACATATTCTATCTTTACATTATGTTCCATTCCAATAACATTCCATTTTCATTGATTAATCCCAAACACATTAAATTTTACTAAAGACTTTAATTCACTACAATTAAATTCCACTATCAACACATCCAACCCTCCTGATTTTGCAGTACAACTTTGTATTTCATGTCTACATTCTTTATCTGTTTAAAATTTAATTGGTAGTTTATCACAAGTATCAGCATCAACACAATTATTATTTTTTGAATCCCAATAACATAAACTACCGAATAAGCATTTTACACAAGATTATTGTCTTTTATATTTATCACAAGTATCAATTTCAATACAATGAATTCCATCAGTAATACATCTATTACTAATAGCTTAGCAATCTGAATCTGTTGTTTTGTTAAATGCTGTGCAATCAGTGAAAAATGTACACTATCCTTCGACCCAAGCACAAGCAGAATACGATCCACAATTACTACATGGTTTTTACTTCGGACATTCCAATTCTTTAAAATTATCACAATATTTTGCATAGTTGATGACTGGATTAGTTGTTGTATCCTAATTTTTTACATGTCTTCTTAGTGTTATCCCATTAACATTTTTTTCATATCATTTTCTCTGCAATCGTCTTCTGAAAGCAATTAGGAACAATCACATTAAGAAATACTATACTATTAGCCTGTTACAAGAGCAACCAATAGGGTCAGGATCACTACTTTGATAATCATAAATAGTAATAGAGAATATTTAATTATTTATTTTTGAACATTTAACTATGTTATATTTTTGGTCTACTTTGAATATATGTTTATTTATACAAATTCTTTGTACAAATATAAAATATCCAAATCAAACTCTCATCATTAATTAAATTAATGAGGATTCTGGCTTATAAGAACTATAGTATTACAAGATTCTGGTTGACAAGACAATAGTGTTAGAAGATTTTGGCTGACAAAACTATAGTATTAGAAGATTCTGGCTGACAGGTTTATTGTAAATTCTAATCAATAGTTCAAATCTACTATTTTTCATTACTAAAAATAGCTAAATTTGAAACTAAACACTTTAACTATAAGGTTTCTCAACTTTTTGTATAACAATAAATTACTTATAATATACAATTTCTAAATGTTGTCATTTCAAACTTTCTCTCACTTTTGATAGCTTAAATTTTCTAAATATTGAATAACATAATTCTTCCTTCAGTCATTCATTCTTGATAATAATGTACAAAAGTATATAAGTCTTTCTTTTTGTTCTAACTCCTATTCAATTATTAGAACTTTTTTCGTTTGTTGAAGAAAAATTTTTTTAGTTCTAATTTAAAACGGTATTGATTTTGTATTAAATAAAAAGTAATATTTTATATGTTCAAGTATCAACAAATTGGTTTAATAATATAAAAGTAAAAATAGTGAGGAACTAAAATAGGAACACATAAGATCATACACTCCATTATTTTTATAAGATAAAATGGAGAATAATTTGTTAAATTAATATGTTTGATTAATACAGAGCAATGTGAAGAATTTGGCTTAAGCTATTACTGCCCACTATGAATAACGAGAATACAATTAAAGGAAATTGACTTTACATTAAATACCCCCTTCCTGTTGCCTTAAATTTAATGAAGTTTTATAAGGATCTAAATAATTCTCTGACTATAAATTGATCAAAAAGCATGGCGAGATTTTGTAGATAGGATCTTTATAATATGCATAATTATGTGGCTTAATTAATATAAAAATTTATTGATAATAAAAATGACTATATGAAAATCCAATCTAACTAATGTGCAATAATTATGATTTCAAGGAAAAATCATATTTCATTCCTTCCATATTGGTATTTGCACAATAAATCCAAATTAGTTTTTTTATTTTGAAAATAAATAAATGATTTAAACTATATTATATTACTATATACTAGATAGTTTTGTCTTTACAACTTGTATTTAAACTTGGTTAATCAAATGAAAATTACATAAAATATATTCTATATAGTATTTCTGTTAACTTGTGATGCAAGTACAATTTTTATTAACTATTTACTTTATTTCCATACTGATTTACAAAAACACTTATAGGAAATTATTCATATTGAGTTTATACAAATAAAATTGACATAATTCCCACTATTATATTCTTTCTAAAATCTACAATATAGAAAAATTTGTTTGTAAGAAAATTAATTCTAATTTAACTAATTATACAATTGTCAAGAAATATTAACTGAAAATAAAGTAATTAAGATTTAGATCGAATAATTATTTTAGTAAAACACATATATTCAAATTTATTACTTACTTATTGATTCTTGTAGGATTAAGGTGTAAAATTTTTAAGTCTTATGTGAGATGGAGTTTATTGAGGTATTTTGATATTTAATACCCCCAATTTAGCTTAAGTATTTTATTTTTATTCAGAATCCTGCTTAAATATCTTCCACTTATCCAAAAATGTGTTTAATCATCTTTATTAAATTAATATAAATTAATGAAATACCAGAAATGTAAATAATAATTTTCTACACTACTACTTGGTTATTTATTATAGACTATCTAAATGAGAATAGTTGATTGAGATTTAATAATTACTATAATAAATATTATATATAAATATCAATGCTTTCGCTTTTTTTATGGACATTTATCTGCGACTCCTATTTTAACCATCTTAATGTTAGACAATAAGACCAGATAGGTACCATCAGGCTAAGGATCAAAAGAATAGATATTAAAGTCTGCAGAGGCAGGATAATAATTGTCTTTATTGAATTCCAATCTCATTTCATTTTAAATTTAACTACATTTATAATGGATAATACCTTTTTAAAACTTAATACTTAATAACAAAGAGACCATTTTTGTCACTCTTTGTTTCAGTTTTTAAATCATTGTAAGTAATTCCATTCCATTATTTAAGTTTAATATTTACTCCTTCCAATCCCCTCCATACTAATGCACCATCACAATCAAATTCTGCCATCACTACACCACTAATCGAAGAGTATTGATAATATTTATTGAGCTATCCTTTGAATTCTGGAGTTACTTCAGCTTAAGTGGATACCTTTACAGTTCCACTATCTGGAGTAATATTGAACTTATGAGATGTTTATTTAAATTTTGCTGTTTCTTAAGTAATCACTAAACATTAGACTTTCGAGTTAGAATTCATCAACATATCCCACTTTATTTAATACATACCAGCATTGTCAGTTTTAGTTCTGATATCTATTGGCCTATTATCTTTTCCAAAACCATCACATTGCATAGACACTTGTATATTCGAAGGGGCTACTCCTCCTTCAGAAGTAAGTTCACCATCTACTTCAAATGGTAGATAATCATCATAAAATTATTTTGGGAACATTAATTGAGATTTTTCATCATTTGTTTAAAATGGCAATGTAACCTTATGTATTTATCCAGTTGCATCTAAAAACTGTTCAGTTAATTAATATTTGACTCCAAATTACAGTTGATCATCTAGTAATTACCACTTTCCATCCTATCCAGTCTTAGCTTCATATTCTTTGGTAACTGGATCTGAAATCAACTTAACTGATATTCCTGACTTTCCTTTGCCTTTTGGATCAACGATTTCTCCTCCTACTGTTAATTTAGTATTAACTGGAGTCAACTCTTACGTTACCTTAATGGGAGGTACTTAAATTTAAGGTCCATTACATTAAAATGAGATTTTGTCTGTTTTAGTGTCTTTATACTTGTCGGCTGTAACATCTAAAATAAAGGATCCCTCAGAGTTTTTGTAACAAGGTATTTGTAGATTAAATTTACCATTTGCATCAGTTTTTCCTGTTATTTTATTTTTCTCTGTTCCTTTAACAATGGGTTATAAGGATTCTACTGTTAATGTGGATACAGGAGAAGGCTTTCCTTAGGGATCAGTCAAAGATGATGATACTGTGGCCTATAAGATAATTCTATCTAAAGCAGCATCTTGAGTTATAGTTTAATCTTTATTTGTTGAAATTGCAATGCTAGGTGATTTAAAGGGAGTGAAGTCTGAATGAGTAATTTATATGACTGCGTGATATGATTAGTCGAAGACAGCTCCAAAAGTTAAGGAATATTTTCCATTCTGGTCAGACTTAGTTTTAAGATTAGAAGCTAATGGATCTGATGGATTTAAAACTATTTCAATATCTGCACCTTGAACATTCATAGTGATTCCACTTTTATCAGTTAATACTCCAGAGAAGGTTATTTGTGCTGTTTTGGTGATAATCTATATAGGTTTGAGTTTGGCATCTTTTTCACCACAAGTAAAGACCTGAGGAGGCAAAGGTGATTTGGGAAAGGCATCTGAAACCATATCCAACTTTAAAGTCGTAGGCACTTGATTATAGCACTAAAATGGAATAGAAAACTCTCCTTTATTGGCTTATGCATATTTATTGTATAATTAAGCATTTTACATTTGTGGAATTGAACTTAGGATTTCAACTTTTGCATTTTCAACCGCCTTGTTTTTGGAATCAATCAAGGATCCACTTATTGTACAATCTATTATTACTCTCTTTAAAGTGATATCTAGATTGATGGTTTGTTTCTCTTCTTTGCCAATTAACTATATATTATTATTTGCATTCTGAAATTGTGGTTGTCCATCAACAATAATGGTTCCATCATAATTAATACCTCTTAGAAGCTCAATTGAAAATGTGAATGTTCCATCATTCGCACTTTTGATTTTTATTTATTAATTAGTGATTGGATCTTATTATTTTAAGCTAAAACTCATTTGGATTCCTGGTAATTTTACTTCAATCTTAGTTTCATCAATCAATTTGCCATTTATTGTAAATAATGTTGTTAAGAATTTACTTTTTATAGAGAATCCATTTACTTCGAAATTAGGAGGAATCAATTCAACTTTATATCCATTATCCTATATCACATCTTTTGGTTTAATTAGACAAACAATTTTATCATCATGCTTAGCTAATACTTGAAATGATATATCCACATTTCCATTTTTATCAGTTGTAAAATCCTTATTAATTGGGCCTTTTGAATCCTTAAATCCTTAACAAATCAAATTGAGAGTCACTGGTTATGATAATGTACCTTTTTCCAAATCTATTTTCCCTTTGATCTTAGCATCTACCAAATCAATATAATTAATATCTTATACTGACACTTTTTGATTATCACTTTATACTTAGAATTTCTATTCTATTTTCTAATTTTATTTATTAATATCTTAATATGAAATAATTGCTTTGTATTCTGTAATTGGATATATCTTTGGAACTGTTGCTGTCCATGTACCATCACTTTAAGTTTTTGTTGTCAATGTTTCACTTTCTGGTTCTGTAGTGATAGTAAGTGATAAATTGGCAACTGGTTTTCCATGAGGATCTATAACCTTACCTGCTAGAATGGCTTTGATTTCAATCTTCTATAAAGTCAATGTTATAGGATTTAATTCTATTTAAGGTGAGTCACATTTAAATTTAGAACTCTTGACTTTTTATTCTTCATATTATGGTATATCTATTTATAAAGAAACAATATATTCTAATTCCTTGTAGCACTCAAAATTTACAAAAAAGGACCCCTTATCATCATCATTTGTTGCTATATTATAATATTTTGAATCCTTCATCAAAGGATCTGATGAAGTCAATTTGATGATAGCATTAGGAATTGGTTTCTTATCACTACTGGATAATGTAGAATGTAATTTTGTTATCATTGTTATTCTTTCTAATTCTAAGTTTTCAGTCAATGTAATAGATTATAGACATTTATCTTCAATTATCTTATTCTCTGTTTTAAATAGAGGATTGGAAGCCTGAATTGAAAATTTTAAAGTATATGCTTGAACTGCTTTAAAGCTAAATGAGTATGAACCATCTTTTCCAGTTTTAGTGCTTATTTTTGATTGTGTTTATGCGTTTTGATTATGTCTTTTATAGAATAAATACTATTCCAATAAATGTTTATTTTGAACATAAACATCTTATGGTGTAATTATTAAGATTACATCAACGTTCTCTAGTGCTGTAATTGCTTTTGTTTTATCAGTCACTACCCCTTTTATTGTAATATCTACAGTATTATAAGTAACAGGTATATTAGTACTAGATGACCAGCCTGGTGCTTTTACTTCAACATTAATTTTTATAGGTTAAACACTAGAAACAGTATTGGTTGATCCTGATTAACCAGATTGTCCTGATTGTCCTGGTTACCCTGATTATCCAGTCTATCCTGTCGATCCAGATTATCCTGATTACCCAGATTACCCAGATTATCCAGTTGATCCTGATTATCCAGATTACCCAGATTAACCAGATTAACCAGTTTAGCCAGGTTGACCAGTCAATTTAACAGGAGCATTTTAAACTACACATTATAAAGGTTTATCAGATCCAGCCAAAGTTTCTAATTCAACAGAATATGAACCATCTTCTTTAGTAGTTGTTTCCACAGATATTGGATTTCCATCTCTCCCTTTAGAATCACAGGTAATCAATAATGGTATTGGTACTGCTGCTTTCCCATCAGAGGGCGTTATCTTACCAGTTAATTTTACTTTAACGTATCTTTGGTATCCAATTACTGGAAAAGTATAAGTTTATTGTTTATCCATTGATGGAGTATAATTAGATGATACCAAAGTCAATTATTTATTATCATTCATGTATTCAACTGTGAATTTATAATTGTTCTAAGGAATTACTGTTAAATTATCAATCTACCAATAACCATTGGCATCAGTTATCAGATTAGAATTAGCAATTGTTAGACTGGGATCAGATTTAAATGTTAGTTAGAACCCTTTCATTGGCTTCTAATCTACATCTAACACTTAACCTTTGATAGTGAGGAGGGAAGTTGATTTTGATAAAGTTATTTAAGTTTTAATTAGGTCTTAATTTTTACATTCTAATTAGGGCGTTTTGTAAGTAATAGGTACAAATTCCTGAACTTTAAATATAAATGTAGCAGTGAACTTCTAATTCTCGTAACATGCAAATTTATATTGAAATGTACCACTATTTAATATTCAATATTAATTACTCTGAATTTCCGATTATCTCCTTATTATAGAAAGATTTATCATTCATAGCAGGGATACTTTCAATAATTTTGATGCTAGCATTCTAAACAGGTTTTCCACTAGGATCAACTAGTTAATCTTTGATCGTGATTTCATTAACCTTTCGGTCAAGTACTATATCCAGCTTCAGTTAATAGGGTTATTTAGAAGGTATATTGATTTATTTTGGAGTAATGACTTGGTCGATGAATTCCTTGGCCTTGACAGTTGCCTTAATATCCAAATTTTAAGTTGATGGCACTAATACATGAACATTGAATTTTCCATCAGCATCAGTTATAACTTTAATTGGTTCTATTATATTAGTAATAGTCAACACAATTTCAGCTCCTTGAACAAATGGAACGATTTTTGAAGAGTCTGTAATAACGCCGGAGATCTAAAGTATAATTTAAGGTAGATTATACTTATAAATCAGAAGCTTCTTATAATTTAATTATTAAATCTCTAGTAAATTGATCTTTTTTAATATTTAAATTAAAATCCTAATCGAATTCTGAACTTTAACTTAGATACTAATCTTTGGTTGCTACTTCTTTTAAATGTAATTTAGGGGTGGCTTTCAGATTATAAGTAATTGCTATTTTTCCATCAGGTCCACTAATTAAGTCATTTTCTATTAGTTATTGATTTGATCCTAAATTAGTTCCTGTAACTTAAATTTTAGCTCCTTATAATGGTTTTTAATTTTAATCGAAAATGAGGGCAGACAAGAGATATTGGAATTATCCAGGTTAGAGATCAATATTAACTGATAATTCATATTTCTATTCTCTAATATAATAAAGAATTCTAATACGGCCATAAAACGAAATTTTAAGAATTTCTATCTAATTGTTATGTGTTCCAATACTCTAATTTAGATGCTGTGTATAAAATACTGAATGAACCTCCAGTAGTTGGCAATAAAAAGCGAACATTCTCTTCTCCTTTTTCATTTGTTATAGCTATAAAGTTGACTTCTTTTGTCTGCTTAGCATCATCTAAATAAATAGCAGTAAATTGAATGAATACTCCAGGTAATGGTTTCGAATTTGATAGCGTTTTTATCTTTAGTTAGAATTGATAATTACAAAAATCAAGCCACGCTGAAATTCATCTTTGACATAAACATCAGATTGAGTAAATTAGACTTTTCCATTAAAAACTATCAATCCAGAATGATGAGTTTCTCCATTAATTTAAGCAGATGCTTAAATATTATTGAAAGTTGTCGATGCAACAGCAATTATTTAGTATGAATGTTATTTTGCAAATTTTCCAGTTAAAGTGACCGTACCGCTGCTGTCTGTCATTAGATTCTTCTCTCCTATATTTGAATTGCCGTTCCTAAATTTTACTTAACTAAGTACTTCACATTAATAATCACACCTGATAGAGCGTAAGCTGAAAAATCTATTACTTTTATCACTATTTTATAATTCACTTCTTCAAGTTCCGCTAATATATGCTCCGTGTGTTTGCCCAGACTACAACCCAAAACAACCAATAAAAATAAAGATTTTAGCATATTTTGAATTTAACAATATAAATTAATTATAAACTCTCAGCTGCTCTTTGTAAATAAACATTCAATGTATTTCTTCTTAAAATTCCATTATTTTTACTTTATCAGAAACCATAAGAATATTATAACAACTAATTTATCAAAAATAATTTAATTCACATTGGGATTATCAGTTCATATTAATTTCAATTATTCTTAGTCACAAAATGCTTTATTAGAAATCAACACAGAGACATACTTATGTGGAGCATCTAACCGTTCATTCTGCATCCAGTTACGGTAGACCACAAATCAATAATGGAAATAAGATTCTGTTACCCGCATCAGCACTTCAATAATTAATCTTTATCAAACAAAATGGACCAATGATTTTTAAAATACAATCAACATAATCACAAAAATTTACATATGTTGGAGTCCTTGAGTTTGTGGCAGAAGAAGGCTCTTGCATTATACCAGATTGGTTATTTGAAAATATGAACTTTTTTAATCGATGTTGGGTGATTGTCAGTCTTGAATAAAGTTTGCCACTTGTAAGTTTATTCATAATTATAATTCTCTAGGGAAAGTTAATTAAGATCCAACCCCATGAGACTGCATTTATTGATCTCCCTGATCCTAGAGCCATTCTAGAGAATTAATTAAGAAATTACATCTGCTTAACTTAAGGTGAAACTATCACCATTACATTTAATAAGATTAAATACATGATTGATATAGTTTCAGTTACTCCAAAAACAGATAAACTTGCTGTTTGTATAAATGAAGCAGATGTAGAAATCGATTTTTTATAACCATTAGTATTTTAAATTTCTAAAAATAGGATTATACTGAAGCACCTCCCCAAAAATTAGTTAAAAACAATTCCACTCTAGGAATGGAATAAGATTAACAATAATAATAATCAGCTGTGTTTACTGGAAAAGGAGTTAGATTAGATGGCAAAACTGGTGTGGCTTAACCAAGAAAACAATCTGAGGATGTTAAGATTGTTGCTGAACCTTATAATCCGAGAAAAAATAAACTAGTAAATGGTATTCGATAAGCCGAAGATGTTTAACTTTTTACAGGCACTTGCACTAAGGTTGGAGCTCAAAAGAAATAACTTTGAGTTCTTTATTATTAATTTGATAAGTATAAATAATCAAATTCCTGTTATATTAATCATGCAAATATTTCAAACATTTAGAGCACATTCTATCTGCACAGTAAACATTTTAGTTTTTGCATAACTAATTCCTTACAAACTTAGCAATATATGAAATGTCCACAAGGAATAGCAACAAATTTTCGTTTTTTTGCAAAACAAATTTAACATTTTTCTGATTCACAAATTTACTCATTTTCTTAACCTATCTCAATAGGCTCTTATTTAATCATATTTTCATCTAATAATTTGTTCTAGCTATCTAGGTTTATTTGTTCAATAATATTTCCTCCTAAAGTTGGAGTTTCTTGCTAGTGGACCTTTTGATTTTCATCTACTATTTTTATTTCAGCTTAATTTTCTAAGATATTTCCATACTGGGATTCATCATTATTACTGTTCTCTTTGGATTGATCTATCACCTTTTTTATTTCTCTTTTTTTATCGCAAACTAAACTTAGGATTTTGGAAGCCTCAATTACAAATTTTTCATTGTTTGACTTCACTCTTAAAATGAGAAAGTGTTCTTCAAATCTATTCAAGTTTTTTAAGTTTTTATGTATCTGCCTTTTATTATCACAAGAAAATGGCAATGGCTATAATGAATACAAAAAATTGATACCCTAATTTATAGAATTATATTTCTAATATTATCTAGTAATTTGCTTCTTTCTTCATCAGTATAATTTGAAATTTTCTTTTCTTCTTCATAATTAAACATTGCAACTTCTAATTGAGAAATCTTTTCTTTAATACTATTCTTATCAGTTGAAGTTGTAATCTGCAATCTCATCTTTTCTAACTAAATTTTTAAATTAGTAATTTTTTCATCTAATCTCAAATGATTCTCTAACGTTTCAATTAAGTTACGAACCTTTTTCTTTTATCTTATGTTTTCTTATTATTCAATTTAAATCATAATATATTTTTTATACTTTAAATAATATATACTTTTATAATTATAAAAATCAATAAAGATTTGGCTTGTAATTTTTGTATTTATTTGTAAATCAATTTGTAACAAAAAAGTACTATATATTATTTAAATTTGCATAAAAAGTTGAAAAAAACAGAAGTTATTTATAATTGCTTATTAAATATTTCAATAATATGGTTTTATACATTGTCTCCTAAAAATTTTAATTCTTATTAAATAACAATGCTTCGCAGCAAATTTATATATTATTCCCAAACAATTTTAATTAAATCCTCGTGAAAATTTACTTATTTTATCCATAAAATGCAAAAGATATTTGAGTTATTTGTAAATTAATATAATCCTTTCTATTAGATCAACCATCAATTATTAAATTAAATTTTATAAAGAAGATAGGTGATGTTATTATAAATCTGATTATATCTTCTCAGCAAGTCAACTTGAAACTTTCAATCATTTGCTTCTTTTTAATAAGACTGCTATTATGCATAACGTTTAATACCTTCATTTATGAGATCCTAAAATAGTTTATGAATTAATTTTTCTGAATAAAGGTTGTATTGCTTTATTCTCTTTTAATGAATCATTCTATAAACTTTTCTCTTGGTATTTGTTGTTATTTAAGACCTTAAATGGAAAATTAATATCCAAAAGAAAGTTAGTATAAATTTCTGATGCAAAACCAAGTGAGTTAGAAATACTTAAAACTAAAATATAACTATTTTGAATGGAGAACCCAAAGGAAGTTTTTACACATTATTACTTTTGATATTTACTAACAGTCCTCAGAAAATTATGTATTATATCGTTTTCATTTAATAAATCAATATTACCCATATGAAGATGAGCTTTCTATTATGTAAAGGAGACTTAAATATTGAATGGTTTCTGACATTTTTTAAAAAGAGAAAAATAAGATGATTAAGTATTAAAAGAAAGATTAACTTTAGAATATTATGTTTTGAATTATTACTATGTAGTTATATAAGGGTGAACTAAACTATTATCATCATCAAAGATATTCTGATTTTTATCGAGATAAGCTAGATGAGAGAAATTTTATTTAAGAAATCTCCTGAAACTTTACTTTTTGACTATCCAAATTATTTCTCACAACGAGTTATAGTCTTATCAATAACTTCAAATAATTATAAGCCATTATCATAAATGTAGAATCATCGATAAACATAATAATATAAAAATTTAATATATTATTATTTGACAAAATAAAACACTAAAATAAAAGCATCCATCATCTTAAGAAGAAAAGGTATTTCAAAAAATTACCTTCTCAACCCCTTAAACTCCAAAACTCTCCCTAATGACTTATTTTTAAACCAAAATTGGATCCTTACAAGAATAATTCTTTAGCTGAACTAAATGCATTAATTTTTTGAATCATAATAAAAGTCTTATCAATCTAAAGCATCATTATTTTGAAGACAATAACATTATTAAAAAAGGTTTAAAAGAATTATCTTAACAGCATTTAGGTTTTAGTTTTATTCAATTATGATAAAATTACTTGTTGCTTAGAAAATTGAACAACCATATAGATAATGAAAAAATTTTAAAATTTAACACACAAAAAACGGAATTTATTTTGTTAATTTTTAAAATGGAAGAACTTAATTATATAATTTATTAAAGAGTATTTTATTTTAATTTAAGAATTAAGATAATATACTTTATCTCAGTATATATTAATTGGGTAATTTCTCGTTCGATGACCTAATTGCTTTTAAGAAATTGATTTTAGTATATATATTTTATTAAAAAGACTTTCTAAACCATTAAGATTTCAAAAAGGCACCACTTTAAGAGATATTAAATTATATAAGCAAATTTCTTGTTTTTAAAAACTAACATAGCTGCATTTAAGAAAATTAATATTAATAACTCTACTATCATAGATTGCTTATGCTTGATTAATATAGTTTTGAGATTTTTAGATAGTTATTCTAATCTTTAAAGTGATATAACAGATATTCTTATAATATATTAAATTTCTTGATTTGTACTTTAATAATTGATTTTATTTCCATTACTATAATTACTATGTATGTTCATAGTAAAACTCAGGCTAATTAATGACTTCTAAATTGATAACTTATTTATATCATTTTAAAATACAAGTTTTCTTCTTAAGTTAATACTCGCAAAGGTAAACCATCATGTGTCAACAAGTTTTTCTATTATCCTTTTGATTTGTGTAAGATTCAACTAAGTCAGCTTGAGTTGCTATTCTCGTAAGGTTTATTCCGCCAATTTTTCATATATTTTAAATTTGAAAAATGGGAAAATACATCCCCACCTAAAATGCAGTAAATATCTACTAATTGCATAAAAACTAAATTACCTTGACCTATTATGTAAGAAAGTACATCTGATTAAATTCTAGAAGTTAGTTAAGTACATTTTTTATTTAACAAAACTTCCTTCAATTTTTAAATTATTCAAAAAATATAAGGAGAGTGCTTTTGCGTTTACTCTAAGGTAACCTCACTTTTTGATAATTTTATAATTTAACCAATTCATTTTTACAAGCAAATATATAATATTACTTTTATTAAAGCATAAAGAATAGCATTTGTGCAATTTGCAATTTGAAAATAGTTTTTTAAGTAATGGATAGAAGTCCGAATCATCTAACAAAACTTAAAGAATTAATGAAGGCTAGGATCAGTTGATGACATTATTTATCAAGATTAGAGTAAATGATGAAAGAGGAAGAATGATAGAATGGAATATTTAGATAATATGACTTATAAAATAGGAGAGAATACTTAAAATGACTATAACGAGAAGTCAAAAGCAATAGTGGGATGGTTATTATATATGTTTATTGTATTTTTATCAATCTACCATTGATTAGTTATGAATAATTGAAGATAGTGCATCTAGATTGGGTATTACAATTAAGTAACTACGTAACTGTCAGCTAAGAGTCTACTCATTGTGTTGTCTTGACAGCAAGAATGTTCATTAATTTAATTAATGATGAGGGTTCATTTCAATATTTAATTATGCTTAAAGCTTTTGGAAAAATAGCTATGTATTCCAACAAAACAAAAATATAACATTCTTGTATTATTCAAAAATAAATAATAAAATTATAATGAATTACTTTTAATGAATATTAAAGTATTGATCCTGGCCTTATTGGTTGCTCTTATAACAAGCTAATAGTATAGTATTTCTTAATGTGATTGTTCCTAATTGTTATCAGAAGATGATTGCTAAAAAAATGATATGATCAAATGTTAATGGGATAGCACAAAGAAGACATGTAAAATCTAGGATACAACAACTAATCCTGTTATAAACTATGCAAAATATTGTGATAATTTTAAAGAAATGGAATGTCCAAAACAAAAACCATGTAGCAATTGTGGATCTTACTCTGCATGTGCTTGGGTCGATGGATAGTGTACATTTTTTACAGATTGCACAGCATTTAATAAAACAACAGATTCAGATTGTTAAGCTATTAGTAATAAATGTATTACTGATGGAACTCATTGTGTTGAAATAGATACTTGTGATAAATATAAAAAACAATAATCTTGTGTAAAAAGCTTATTCGGTAGTTTATGTTATTGGGATACAAAAAATAATAATTGTGTTGATGCTGATACTTGTGATAAACTACCAATTAAATTTTAAACAGATAAAGAATGTAGACATGAAATACAAAGTTGTACTGCAAAATCAGGAGGTGGATGTGTTGATAGTGGAGTTAATTGTAGTGATTAAAGTTTAGAAATTTAATGTGTTTGGGATTAATCAATGAAAATGGAATGTTATTGGAATGGAACATAATGTAAGGATAGAATATGTGATAATGCACCTACTACTTTAAATACTGATGATTCTTGTTAATTATTCAAAACTGATGGATCATGTACAACAAAACAAAATGGTGGATGTATTACTAGAACTACTTGTTAGGCTGCTTCAATATAAGCTGCATGTATTAAAAATAGTACAAATGAAGATTGTTATTGGACTGGAACTACATGTGTGGATAAAATATGTTCAAATGCACCAACTACATTAACAACTAATTCAGCTTGTGCAGCATTTTCAAAAGGATGCATAACTAAGTAAGGGGGAGGTTGTGTACTTAATGGAGATTGTTCTGCTGCTAATATTTCAACTGCATGTGTTAAAAATATCAATAATTTTGATTGTATTTGGGAATTCAACTTGCAAAGAGAAAACATGTGTAAATGCTCCAAAATCTAATACTACTCATGATTAATGTACTTCTTATTTATCAACATGTACAGTTTAATCAGGAGGAGGATGTCAATAGAGAACATGTGACAATGCTCCTACAACACTGAATACAAATGATGCATGTGAAATATATTTACCTGCAAATAAATGTATAACCAAAAATGGAGGTGGATGCACAATAAACACCACTTGTTCACTTATATCAATAGAAGTTGCTTGTATCAAAAATTCATTAGGCTTGCCTTGCTTTTGGCATGTTGCAAGTGGAAGTTGCAAAGACAAAATTTGTGCGAATGCTCCCTCTAGTAATAATAGTCATGAACTTTGTTAATAATTTTTGAATTCTTGTACTGTAAATTCTACAAATACAGGATGTGTTGAAAAAACATGTGAGAATTCATTAACTTTATCTATTTGTGATAAAGATTTAAACAACAACATATGCATTTGGAAAGCAAGGTGTTATAAGAGATAATGTGCAATGGCTTCAAGTTCAATAACATCTCATTCTGAGTGTTAAGCTTATTATTCAAGTTGTACATTAAGTAATACTGGAAAAGGATGTGTTACATTACCTCTGAAATGTGAAGCAATTACAATAGAAGCTGCTTGCAAGATAAAGGCTAATAAATAATCTTGTAGGTTGGACAGGATCTTAATGTTTTGATAAAGCCTGCAATACTGCTCCCAAAACTATTTCGACAACTTCAGACTGTCAAGCTTATTTATCTTCATGCGTAGCTAACAATCCAATTACAGTAAATGGTACCTCAATTATTTAAGGATGCTAAGATTTACCTAAAACTTGCGATTCTAGAAAATCATCTGAAAATTGTAATATTACAAGAGCAGCATTTCCAATCTGTTTTTGGGATTCTTCATCTAACAAATGCGTTGAAAAATCCTGTACAACTGCAAATTTATCAGGCACACCAGGAGCACTTTCAAAAGGGTAATTCACATTTGATAATTGTTAAAGTTACATGAGCACATGCACGACTACTAATGCTCAAGGTAGTTGTACTTAAACATCATATCCTTGCATTTCAAATAATAGTTAAGATGGATGTATGGTTAAGCCCACAAGTTGTTCATAGTTAGTTTAGTAAAATTGTAAAGATGGATCTAAATCTAATGGTGATTGTTATTGGAATGGATCTAATTGTGTTGAAAAGATATGTACTAATATAATATTAAAAACACATAACGATTGCTATAATATATTCAATCAATGTACCGTCAATGATGATGGTACAGCATGTATACCATTAGCCACTGCTTGTAATTCATATAAAATTTAAGAGAATTGTAAAATTGCATCTACATAAAAGAATTGTTATTGGACAGGAACAGTTTGTAGAAATGCAATTTGTGATGATACTCCAGATTCTGATCTATTTGATTCAGATGAAGAATGCCTTAAATATCAAACTCAGAATGAAACATGTACAATAATTGCCAAAGTGGGAGGCTAAGGGTGTGTTCAAAAATAGGCAGTTTGTTCTAATTACAAGACTTCAAGTTAATGCCATAAGACTTTATTAAATTTAAATGCTTAGGATGATTGTAAATGGATTAATGGAATATGTTATTCCTTGGCAACTTTTGCAACAGGAGCTTGTTCTACGTTTAAAGGAACATAAGATATGTGCAAAGCCTTATAGATAGGGATGCACAAATGTAGCTAATGCTAGTACTTCAACTGCATGTACATTGGATTGTACTTTAAAAATTGGAAGTGGATTGACATTCTAAGATTGCTAAAATGTGGATCCAACTTGTTCAGTTAAAAAGGATGGTAGTGGTTGTATTTTAATTTAATCTACATGTGCAGGATATGGAACAACAGATGTAAATTGTTATAAATCAAGTGCAACTGGAACACAATCAATATGTCTCATGAATAAAGCCACACCACCAAGTTGTTAATCAGTGAGTTCAGCATCTGATTGTGCACTTATAAGTGGATCAGGACTTGATCATGCTAAATGCTAAGCATACAATATTGCATGTACATCTTTAGGTAAAGGAAATGGGTGTTAAGAATTTAAAGCAAATTGCACTGCTTATACTGGTAATACTGATAATTGCACAGTCTCATAATAAGGACAATGCTTTTTAAATGGTTCTGATTGTGTTCGTTTTTCTAATTGCTTTTCAATTACTGGAACAAACCTTTCTCAAGAAATCTGTTATTCCTATGGCCCTAATTGCACCATAAATAAATAAAAAACAGCATGTTAATATAAGAGAAATACATGTGATTTATACATATCTTAAGAAGAAATGCACAGTATCTGGAACTGACTCTGAAGCAAATTTATGTGTTTGGAGTGGTACAGCATGTCTTACTGTTACAGATGTTGCTACTCATTGTGCTTACATAACTGGAACCAATCTGACCGATTCATTTTGTGCTAGTTACAATGTTAGTTGCATTGTAAATTAAGAAAAGACGGCCTGTTAGGAGAAAAAAGCTTCATGTGGTTTATATTCAACTAAAAGTTCATGTACTCTATCATAGGAGGCTGGATCAGCAGGCAAATGTATATGGAATGATGGAGGGTGTCGTATCATGACATTACTCTCTACAATTGTTACATCTATTGATAGCGTTGCTCTGAAAAGAGCAACATGTGCATAGGTCAATCCAGCTTTGGCACCAACAAAAAGTGGAGATAAATGTTTTATAAAATAAGGTTCATGTAGTATGTACAAAGAAGAAAAATATTGTACAACTTCCTTAGCATTAGGTACAGAAGCAAATTGTATTTGGGATAGTGATAGTTCAAGTTGTTAAGCATTTACATCTGGTTCTTTGTGCAAAAATATAACAGGAACAAATTTATCTGAGAGTTATTGCCCTTCAGTTAATCCATTGTGTACAACAAAATAAACGAGAAACGGCTGTTATGAAAAGTAGCCTAATTGTTCAGATTATAAAACATAAGATGATTGCTAATTATCTTTAGCTTCTGGTAAAGCAGGATATTGTGTATACACTGGTTACGCTTGCGGTAATGTGACAAACCCTTCGACTCATTGTGGTTATATTTAAGTCTCTTTTCCTACAACAGAGATACTTTGTGCTAGTTATGATACTTCTTGTATTCCTTTATTTGGTGAAAACGGATGTCAAGAGATTAAATCAAATTGTTCCTCATACTCATCTTAAAAAAACTGTTATAAATCTTTGAATGACGGTTATTGTATTTGGAAAGATAGTAGCTGCAAAGTTGTTAGCGATCCGAACGAATGTGCTTCTGCATCTTCTTCTGGTTCTAAATTGACTAGTACTTATTGCAATGGATTACATAAAGATTGCTGGGTGACTCCAAGTAAAGGTGGTTGTTATTAGATGTTACCTAATTGTGAAAATTACGATCATGTGTCAAAATGTGATAAAACTTTAACTAATGAACTCTGTAGTTGGGGCACAGGTTGTTATAAAAATTCATCAGCCAGCCAATGCTATGGTTAGTACTTCACTGATATAGCCCCCTCTGGAACAACAGATGCTATTTGCGCTATTTATAATGCTGGCTGCATAGCAGATACCGATAATTCTCGTTGTTATGAACTGAAAACAAGTTGTTCGTCATACACAGAAATGTAGCAGTGTAAGTATGCAGGAAATTAATAATCTAAAGTTGGATGTGTCTATAAAGTGACAGGTTGCGTTTAGCTAACTGATCCTGTAGATGAATGTTCATTGATTAGAACAAACCCATTTAGCGATGCTACTTGTGTATCTTTTCATAGTGGTTGCACAGTCTCATCAGATTTTTCTGGCTGTCAATAAAGATAAGCAGTTTGTGCCGATTATACAACAAAAGAAACTTGTACATATTCAGCTGCTGCATCTCCTTTCAATTTATGTCTTTATTTCAATTCAAAATGTGTTGCTGCAAGAGAATTGTTAACTGATTGTGCAGCCATTACTGCAACTTCAGGTTTGACTGATTCCGATTGCTCTGGGTATAGCTCTACATGCACATCAAATAAAAATGGGACTGCCTGTTAAGATAAAAAAAGCACATGTTCTGATTACCAAAATTAGGATTCATGTTCTGTTTCCTCAAGTTCTAAATGCATTTGGAAATCTAGTTGTACTTCTATTAGTGATGTAACTACTGACTGTGTATATGTAGTTGGTACAAATTTAACTCATGATATTTGTATTTCTTATAACAATGGATGCACAGTCAATAAAGCAGGAACCTCTTGTTAAGAAAAGAAAAACAGTTGTGCGGATTATACAAAAAGTGAAAATTGCTCTATTTTTGATGATTCTGGAACACCAAACTACTGTATATGGCATTCGACATGCATCTCTTTCACCAATATTAATACTGATTGTTATTATATAACTGGTATCAATCTGACCAATGATATATGTGCTTTATATAATCCTAGTTGCATAGTTAATAATTCAGGAACTGCTTGTTAGCTAAATCTAGGCAGTTGTAAAAGAATATGGTTTATAAGATGGTTGTCCGTAATAATAATGCATATGGGATGCAGCAGAATGCAAATCTATCTCAAATCCTTCAGTTTAATGCAGCTTAGTGAATGGAAAGACTGGTCTCAACCTTGACATGTGTAGATAATATCATAGTGAATGTTTTAATCTAAAAGATGGTACTGGATGTTAACATGCAAAGTCAGATTGTAAGAATTATACAACTTAGAATTAATGTGTTGCATAGCTTAATGGTACTTCCTGTTTATGGCATGAAAATTCTTGCTACAAAATAACAGGTGTTAGTTGTTAGGTAATTACAGGGACTAATCTAAATCATAATATATGTTAGTCATATAACAAAGATTGCACTTCAGTAAGTGATGGCAATTCATGTTAAGATTATAAGACAACATGCGAATAGTATTTAGGAACAACTGAATCTTGTATTTAATCTGTAAAAGGAAAATGCTACCTCTATAATTCAAACACTTGTATTACTATTTTAAATGTTTCTACTGATTGTGCCAAGATTACAGGTGTATCATTAACTTATGAAATATGTTAATCATATAATTTGGGATGCAGTGTTAATAGAACCAAAACTGCTTGTGTTTAAAAAGCAGCTTAATGCTCTGGATATTCAACTGCTATGAGTGGTTGCTATCAAGCAGGAGAAGGATTATGTATTGCATCCACTAGCAATGATTCAGCATGTGTGCCTGCCTCAAGTTCATCTACTTGTGAAAAAGTATTTTTAGGAACAGGCAATTATACTCATGATAATTGTAGTGCAATGAAAGCTGGATGTACTGTAAATGGAAGTACAGCATGTATGGCTAGAACTTGTGCAAATGCTACAGGTTCATTACATTTAATCATGATAATTGTTATTCTTGGCTCAAAACTTGTACAGTAAATTAGACTAATAATGGTTGCGCAATCATGACTGCAAAATGTTCAGATTAATCATCTACTTAATGTCTAAATGCAATAGAGGGAGTGTGTCTAGTGTTTAATTCTATTTGTATTAGAAAAGGATGTGATACAGCTCCATCAGATGCTTCTCATGATGATGATACAGAATGTTCTAATTATTCATAAGCTTGTACAGTTGCAAGAGCAGGTGGATGTCAAGTAAGAACTGCATGTTCATTATATAAATCATCATTATAATGTAAATTAGATATGAATGATAAAAAATGTTTCTGGAATCCATCTGTTAAGACATGTGTTGATTTGGCTTGTGCAAATATAGAAGTATCAAATTTATATAATACTCATGCTAAATGCTTTGCAGTTGATTCAAATTTAGGTTGTACAGTCAGAGCACTTAATAAAGTAGTTGCTCCTGGTTGTATGGCCAGAGGACCATGTAGTTCATATACTATTAAAGATTAATGCATAACTAATGATAGTGGAATAGACTGTGTTTGGAATACAAATAGTAGTTTACCTGAACCTGCTTGTTAGGATAAGTCATGTACAACTGCTCCTAGTTCCACATTAACTCACATTGATTGCTTCAATTATTATAATACATCAACTATCAAATGTACAGTGTAATGCTATTCCAGATGCTAATGGTGGATAACCAATTCTAAGAGGATGTTAATAAACTGCAGCCTGTTCAACTTATATTGATAGTGAGTAATGTAAAATAAATGCTGCTGGTGATCCTTGTGGATGGAATGGAAAAGAATGCAATGATAAATCTTGTTCCACTGCTCCTGCTACATCAGAATATGACGAGGTAATACAAAATGTAGAGCTTATTTGAACAATAAATGTACAGTATCATCAGAAGGATAAGGTTGTATAGATATTCCAGAGAGTTGTGAGTTAATGAATTAGAAACAATGTTATTTCAATAGTACTGGACAATCCTGTTATTGGACTGGAACAGAGTGTATTACTAAATCTTGTGAAAATGCTCCAATAGAAACAGCTACAGCTGAACAATGCAATAACTATTTATATGGATGTACAATAGATGTTATAAAATGCAAAATTAAAATCTGCGAAGATTATGTTTTAACAACTGATGAACAATGTAGTTATGCGTTATCTACATGTACTACAAATGGTGTTAATTGTGTTACCAGAGGAACATGTGTTTAAGCTTAAAATAAAGCTGGATGTGTTGTATCTTCTACTGGATAATCTTGTGAATGGATACCTGATGTCGTAAATTCTCAAAATGTTGTAACTACTGCAGCATATTGTACAATTAAAACTTGTAATACTGCCCCAATTAGTTTATAAACAGATGCAGATTGTGGAAAGTATTTTACAAATTGTACAACAAAAAGTGGAGGTGGGTGTGTTACCTAAATCAAGTTGTTCTGCTGCCTCTGTAAATGCTGCTTGTATAACTGCATTAAACGGTACAATATGTGTATGGGATAATACATTAAATAAATGTAGAGATAAAGATTGTTAAGATTTTATAGGAACAACTCACACCATTTGTTAAACTTAAAGATAAGAATGTACTGCTGGACCAAATGGTAGATGTGCTAGAGTATAAAGTTGTGAATCAACTACTATTAGAGAAGCTTGTATTGAAGGCACAAATGGACCATGTTTATGGATTGAAAAGTTTGTCAATAGTGATGGTTCAAAAGGAGCTTGTTTTGCATATACATCATGCAAGAGTTTAGCTTGGAATAGTGATGAATCTTGTAAATTGATAAGCAATAAATGTACAACTAATGGAACTAATTGCATTGGAATTACTACATGTACTGAGACAAATATTGATGGTGGATGTGTTACAGGGTATGATGGATCTTGCATTTAATCTGTACCTGCTTTGAATTCTTCTGATCCTAAGATTTGTAAACCATTTAAATCATGTGCAGATGCCTATTATGCAACTCATAAAGATTGTTAAATTGCTAATAAAAAATGTACAACAGATGGAACTACGGGTTGCATTCCTTTAGGAGCATGTTCAACATATAAATCTTAACTGCAGGATGTTAGGTAAATGATAAAGGATCTGTAGTTTAATCTGGTGTTATAACTTCAACAGGTGTTTGTATTTGGGATTTGAGTACAAGTGGTTGTAGAGATTAAATTTGCTCTGATTTGAATGGTGTTACTCATTCAATTTGTAATTCTTAATTATCAACATGTACTTCAGATGGTAATAAATGTTTACTGAAAACAAATTGTTCTAGTTATTCTACCTAAATTATTTGTTCAACAGCTGTTGGAAATGATGGTCTTTGCTTTTGGGAGGTTGGTTCTACTACAAATAATAATACAGCAAAATGTAGATTACTTTCTTGTGCTGATATTCAAAATGGAACATCCATCAGTGTTTGTTAAGCTGCTTTACCATCTTGTATTTCAAATGGAACTGTTTGTATCCCAAAGGCTAAATGTTCAACTTACACAACTAAAACAGCATGCAATTTTGGTGGATTAGATGGAATTTGTGTATTTACATAATCAACTTCTGCATAGGCTGTAGCTGATAGTGGAACTTGCACTTTGATGAATTCATGTTCATCTGCAAATAATGATTAAAATGCTTGTGTAGCTGCATAAGATAGATGTTCATGGAGTCCAGCTAGTTCTACAATTACAAGTATATGTACTAATCATACATGTGGTACATATAATTAAGTTAGTGGAACTTGTTCAAGATTCTTTAATTGGGATAAATAATCATAATAAATATGTTCTATGATTAATGGAATATGTACAGCAACTGATCCATCAACGTTAAAATAAAGTGATTGTTTTAAATTTTCAGGATACACATATACATGGAATAGCTCAACAAACAAATGTTAAGTTTGTACTAAAAAAGATTAGCCAAATGGTCCTATCAATAACACAATCAATGATACAAATAACACTAATACGGCTTAAGGGTTATTATTAACATTCATCTTAGGCTATTTGATGATTTGATCACATAAGATTATAATATTAATTTATTTTATAATTAAAATTATTCAACTAAATAGTATTTAGTTTAATTAATTAATCGATTGGTTAATTAGATATTATTAATTAATTTCTCCAACTAAAACGCTGTTTTTAAGAAATCTACTGTTATTATTATAAATTTTCATAATTTATTGAAGTAGTTCAAAACGTGATTTTTAATATCAATAATGATAATTTTGTAAGATGATGAATTATGAATCTAATATTTTATTTTTTTTATGCTGGTTAAAAATGCTAATTAATTAAAGTTTATTGTTGTTGTTATTATTAATCCTCACTGTGTTGCCAAAAAAAATAATTTTCTATGAGGGATTTCATTCATATTATGCATGCAACAGATAAGGTTTATTTGGATTTACTGAAAATTTGCTTAGGGTTTTATTATTTAAAAAACTTTTTTGTTGTCAGATATTTCTCATATAATTTCCTTTCCTTTTATGATATTGGGATTAATCATGAAAAAATTTAATAAAAAGATCTTTTCTCTTATTGTAGAATATTTTTTCAGTAACATCTAGCTAAGATATAACATTAAAGCTATGATTCTAAATAAAACTAACTTTTCATTAATTAACTGATTTTATCCATTTAAATCCATAATATATATGAGATATTTGAAAAATGAAAATAAAAATAATCCTTACTCTTATTCAACCATTAATTAGTAAGTTAAATTTTTATACAGAATGATGGAGTTATTGCAATTCTTATTATTTCTTCATACTACTCCAGCTTGAACCTTTTCAATCATTGACTGCTGTTAATGCTTAAAGTTTGATATGTAGATGATGATAAATTTAAAGAAAATTCTTAATGTCTGATAATATAGGAATTTGTTCACTAAACTCTTATCGATCAAGACACTCAACTTCTTATCTTCTTGATCGTCCTCTTGGTGAATCTTTCTATAAAACTACTCGATGAACTCTGTTTTTGTAAGTTGTAATTAGCCTGCTATTAATTAATTCAGGTTTTCTAAATGGCTGGTTCATGCTTAAACTAGATGATTTCTATCCAGCTATAATAATAATAATGATCAATAAAATGGTGCTTATAATCTAAAAATAAAGAAGACAATGAGATTATTTTTATGAATATTTAGAATAAATAATTTACTTTATGTTTTTGAAGAATTCACAAAATAATTAATAGAAGTAATCAATTATTAACTATTTAGAGATTTAATATAGGAAACAAATTTTGCTAATTAAAAATCAAAAAACAAAAGGTATTATAATTATGTTTTGGATTAATATTTCAAATTTAAAAATAAATAATTCATATTTCTTATTTCTCAAAACATCATTATCAAATTTAATCTACTAACTAATTCAATTATTTATCAATAGAAATTGATATAAATCAGAATTCAATTTAATAAAGGATTTTTCAAATAAGGTGTCATAAGAAGAATATATCTATCAGCATAAAATTTTCGGAGCTAATTAAAAGTTGATGAATTTTATGATGCAAATTCAGGCAATTTACACTTTTTTCCTTAATTAGAAACTGTTTTAAACTATTCTATACTTTCTCATAAGATTGAATTGAGGCGAGTTTGGTTCTAAAAATTAAAAATTGCACTAAATCAATATTATTTTAGATTTGTTTCCTCTTATGCACTCCACCATTATAAAGTATTACTTTATATTATTCTCTGAATAATTACCTTTAAAATTGTTAATCTATTCTAAAAGATGATCGACATAGAAATTTGACTTTATATTCCGGTGATATTTCATCAATGAAAACAAAATTTTCTTAATGTTATTAGCACTCAGAATTTTAAGAATATTGAATTTGTCTTTGAGTTTCTTCTTGCTCTTTACATCAAGGTGTTGGAGGTTATGCATCCATTTGGTAATTCTGATCTATCAAACCTAGAATGATATTTACTATATGTTAGTAAGATAATTAACATCTATGAGCTCTATATTAGTAAATTAAATATTTGAAAAAACTCATTGACATTGTTGGGAAGGTACTTAGCGATATTAATGAAATTGGTAACGTAATGATGGATGAAAGTACTGTTTAAAATCATTTTCATAAATTACTATTTTGTTGATTAATTCCATTTGGTGGTTTTATAGGGGCATAGAATAGAAGTGGTAGTTTTAATCAACAGTGAACGACTTCTGGAAATCACAGATAAATTTTAAGCTTGACTTGAAAGACATATTAAGTTGGTTAAAGATATATTTTTATCTCAAGGTCAATGCAGGTGGACATTAATAAAGAATATGAGGAAAAATAAAAATTTACCATAATTAAGTTTGCCTATCCAAAACAATATTGGTTTTAAAAATTTGATTGTATTATTCAGCTTTTCTGTGTGTAGATTTATTTTCCCAAGATTATTATTGAAATTCCAAGGTATTATAAGATTTAACAATTGCAAAGTCTAGTAGAGTTTGATCTTTAGTCTCGAATTATTTTGGATAATAAACATTCCTATTGTAAATTTTTGACTCTGATGTTAAATTTAATAGATATTTTTGTAATTCTATTCAATAAGTATACATTTCTTTTTTATTGAGAGAAGTGCAACCAATAACTAGAGTTAATAGATTAGTTATGTTAATCTGTGTGTATGGAATAAGTAGAAATCTTTGAAGCTATGGTAAGAATCTGAGTTCATGTAATAAATATAAAGGACTTAAATAGTGATGGGTTTGAATTAAAATTTTTTGGGTATATAGGGATAGCTATATTGAGTGTTTTTAATCTAACTCTCCAGCAGAATTAATTAGTTGCTATTTTGGAATCAGATGATTAGAAATATATCAGAATTCTTAGTTTTACTTATGAAAGTTTCAAAGATTCCATCAGATGAAATTACTTTGTTTGACGACATTTTCTACTATATGTCTTTAAATTCTAAAATAGTGAGTGGCTGAAGAGTGGATAATTTTATGGATTACACGGCGATCTCTTTGATATTACATCTATTTGGTTTTGACTGTTATTTATTGCATTCATGCCAAATCAGATGTTTTCTTGATCATCTAAAGAATAGGAAACATTCCTCTATCTCTTTTTTTTTAGTTTATAATCGCGACTTAGATGAGATTATAGAATTTCTTGATATTATTATTCTAAAAAAACTCTAAGAGTTTATCAAAAGAGATTGTTGATTTTCCTCAGCGTGTATCTTTATTTGTGGCACTATTCTTTCTTTTAATCTATCCATTAATCTTATATTATTTTACATAAACTTGTAGAAGCAATCAAAATCACTAAATTTGGACAGTCCAAATTTATTAAGGTTTAGAGAATTCTGGATTAGAAAATTTGTAATAGTAAATTTTTATTTTATTTTTTTAGATAATTATAATTTAATAATAGCCATAGTATAATTAGAAATTAATTGTAGTCAATATCGGTTTATATTGTTGTTTCTAGACAGTATAGTATAATTTAAATTCTTCTCTCAATTTTTTCCCAAGTTTATACCTTTAAAACGTTTTTAGGTTATAGGGAAAGCTTAAGGATGAAAAGAACAAGGAGGGTTAATAGAGTTTTTAATCTCCACTTATGATGATTCTTTGATTACATTTAATTGGTTCATAAATTATAAGAACCTGTTTAGTAGTTCATTTTGAATTTTTTCGAATACTCATTTGCTAAGTTAAAATTAGAACATATACAAATTCATTCCTAACACTTATTAGTTAGTAATCAAATATTTATTCAGGAGTCGTAATATGTTGCTACAGTAAATTGAGGTTATACCAGAATGAACTCCTGTAATGTTTCGACTTGATTTATAATCATTCTAATTATGGCGTTGATAGTTAGTAGCTAGAGGATGAAGATATATTGATGTTGCGACATTTGTATAAACAGAAAATTTGTGGACCTTTCTCCTTAACAAGTCTAAGCGATTGAGAATTAATTGATAAGATATTCCATCAAATTAGGGTTCTTTGAAAACTTCACTCATTATACACGTTATCAATTTCGAGTTTTTGGACTATCTTCCTGGACCTTACCCTTGTGTATTTTCAAATATGTAGAGATTAATCGTTGAAGTCGTGAAAAGATTTTAAGCATGACTATTTATTTCCCTGCATTCTCTTCATCTTATTTACCTTTAGAAACACTATTTTTACTTGTACTCATTTATATGAGTATAAGAAGAAACCTATTTTTTTTTTATGATTATCTTTAAGTTCAATTGATTTATAACTCAATTTGGTTTTAATGGATTATTGTATGGTTTGTATAAGGTTTTGTTGAGTTGCTGAGGGTGGGGTTGTCTGAGAATTTTTTTTATTTGTTTATATTTAATAATACTCTGTTTTTTTCTCATTATATATCCAAAATATTTTTTTGTCTTAGAATGTAATATTTTAATCTATTTATCGACCTTTCTGCTGGATGCTTAATTATATTAGGGTAAAAATAACTTTGTTGCAAGTTTCAATGCGTTACTAGTAAGAATTGCTTCTTGAATGATTGTGCTGGCCTAATCCGATTACACAAATGATATTAGTTTTCTGAGGAACACCATAAGTTTTCAGACGCAGTAAGCCTATTTTACATAATCTATTTAAGTCAGCCTATATAAGCTGCACCTGTTGTTTACACTATTGACAAACTAGATAATTTAATATGTTAAATCTAAAATAATGCTCTAATTATTCTGATGGGTGATAATCTATGAATTAAGTTGGGTTAATCTATTGATAATTTCTGTCAACCATGCTAAAGATTAAATTTTGGTAACAATAATTAAATAATAAAAATTGTTATTATTAGGTAATTTGAGAGAAAATTTTATTCAATCTGTGTTAATTAGTAGACTAGAGCTTTAATGAAGGCAGTTAGATTTTAGATTTGTTTAAGTTACTAGCAACAATAAGAATGGCTATATTTGTTTCCTCCTCAAAAGGCATATTAATATTCTCTAATTGTTTTCAATTTTGAGAAAAATTAATTTATTGAATGAGTATTTTTATTTTTTAATTTTGGTTGGTGATCATTCTGATGGCTTTTCTATTTAAGGAATATATTTCAAAGATCTTAATAAAAAATTGATTGTTAACTCAGAGTGCTATAATAATTTGTAAGTGTAATCAGAGAAGATTTTAAATTGTTATATATTAAACTTTTAAATTCTATAGAATTATCAATATATAAGTTAATATATTTTTTGAATGGAATTTTAGTTCAACTGGCCCTAACAAGTCTTTGAGCACTAATCATTATATATATATTAATCATTTTTAATGGTGAGATTTGTTTATATGATAGGAAAAGTTGTATTTAGAAGCCCAAAACCAATAACAATTCTAAAAATTAAAAATTTTTGAATAATTGAACAATACCTTGATTATGAGGTCCTTTACATTTTATGGATTAATTATCCTGAATAAGGTTTTATAAAATGTTATTGCTTTATTCTTTTTTAAATGAATCATTTCTATATCCTTTTTCTCCTGGTATATGTTGCGTTATTTAATACCTTAAATGGAATCTGAATATCCATAAGAATGTTATTATAAATTTTGATGCAAAACCTAATGAGTTAGTAATACTCAATATAAAAGATAGCTTTTTTAATTAAGTACCCAAAGGAATGTTTACTCATCATTACTTTTGAGATTTACTAACATTCCTAAAAAAAAGGTTATTTAATATATCATTTTCGAGTTAACCAATAGGACTAATATAAAGTAGAGCTTGCCTTATGTAAAGGAGAAGTATTTTAATTTTCAACTGGAATGTCATAAAAGCTTTTTAGAACTTAAATCTTCAAATTAGTACAGAACTAAAATAAAAATAACTAGAAAATTATCGAATTTTAATTCAATATATCTTCTTAAAATCTGGAAATCATATTTAATCTTGACTGTCCAAATTATTTCTTACAAAGATTTATGGTCTTATCAATAACCTAAAATAATTATAAATCATTATAATATGTGTAGAATCATCGATATACATAATAATATAAAAATTTAATATATTATTTTTTGCAAAATTAAACACTAAGATAAAAGCCTCCATCATCTTAAGAAGAGAAGGTATTTAAAAAATTTACCTTCTAAACCCCTTAAACTCTCAAGTTCACTCTAATGACTTATTTTTAAACCAAAATTGAATCCTTACAAGAATAATTCTTGAGCTGAAAATGCATTAATTTTTTGAATCATAATAAAAGTCTTATCAATCTAAAGCATCATCATTTTGAAGACAACAATATAATTAAAAAAGGTTTAAAAGAATTATCTTAACAGTAATTTAGGTTTTAGTTTTATTTAATTATGATAAAGTTACTTGTTACTTAGAAAATTGAACATCTATATAAGTAAAAATTTTAAATTCAAAACAAAAAACGGAATATATTTTTTTATTTTATAAATGGAAGAACTTAATTATATCATTTATTAAAGCATATTTTAATTTAATTTAAGAAATAATATAATTTTCTTTATCTCAGAATATTTTAGTTGGATAATTTCTGGTTCGATGACCTAATTGCTTTTAAGAAATTGATTTTTGTATATATTTTATCTTTCTCAAAATTTAAGATTAAAAAATCTTCACCTTAAGAGACGTTAATTGTGTAAGCAATTTTCTGGTTACTAAAACTAGCATAGCCATATTTTAAATTCCTATTAACAACTATGCAATCATGGATTGTTTATGCTTATATAATATATAATTTTAAGATTTCTAAATAGTTTCTAATCTTTAAAGTGAGATAACAAAAATACTTCCAATATATTAAATTTCATTATTATTCAACTTTAATAATTGATCTTTATTTCCATTACTAAATATTATAATAGTACAACCCAGGCTAATTGATAACTTATTTACATGATTTTAAAATAAAAGTTAACTTCTTAAGTTAATACCCGCAAAGGCAAACCATCATGTGTCAACAAGTATTTTCTATTATCCTTTTGATTTGTGTAAGATTTAAATGAATCAACATGAGTTGCTGTCCTAGAAAGCTTTTTCTGCCAATCTTTGATATATTTTTAATTTTGAAAAATGGGATTATACATCTCCACAAAAATGCAGTAAATATCTACTAATTGCATAAAAACTAAATTACCTAGACCTATTAAGTAAGAAAATACATCTGATTTAATTCTAGATGTTAGTTAAGTACATTTTTTATTTAACAAAACTTTCTTCAATTTTTAAATTATTCAAAAAATATAAAGGAGAGTGCTTTTGCGTTTACTCTAAAGGTAACCTCACTTTTTGATAATTTTATAATTTAACCAATTCATTTATACAAGCAAATATATAATATTACTTTTATTAAAGCATAAAGAATAGCATTTGTGCAATTTGCAATTTGAAATAGTTTTTTAAGTAATGGATAGAAGTTCGAATCATCTAACAAAACTTAAAGAGTTAATGAAGGCTAGGATCAGTTGATGACATTATTTATCAAGATTAGAGTAAATGATGAAAGAAGAAGAATGATAGAATGGGATATTTAGATAATATGACTTATAAAATAGGAGAGAATATTTAAAATGACTATAACGAGAAGTCAAAAGCAATAGTGGATGGTTACTATATATGTTTATTGTATAGTTATCTATCTACCATTGATTAGTTATGAATAATTGAAGATAGTGCATCTAGATTGGGTATTACAATTAAGTAACTACGTAACTGTCGGCTAAGAGTCTACTCATTGTGTTGTCTTGACAGCAAGAATGTTCATTAATTTAATTAATGATGAGGGTTGATTTCAATATTTAATTATGCTTAAAGCTTTTGGAAAAATAGCTATGTATTCCAACAAAACAAAAATATAACATTCTTGAATTATTCAAAAATAAATAATAAAATTATAATGAATTACTTTTAATGAATATTAAAGTATTGATCCTGGCCTTATTGGTTGCTCTTATAACAAGCTAATAGTATAGTATTTCTTAATGTGATTGTTCCTAATTGTTATCAGAAGATGATTGCTAAAAAAATGATATCGATCAAATGTTAATGGGATAGCACAAAGAAGACATGTAAAAACTAGGATACAACAACTAATCCAGTTGTAAACTATGCAAAATATTGTGATAATTTTAAAGAAATGGAATGTCCAAAACAAAAACCATGTAGCAATTGTGGATCTTACTCTGCATGTGCTTGGGGTCGATGGATAGTGTACATTTTTTACAGATTGCACAGCATTTAATAAAACAACAGATTCAGATTGTTAAGCTATTAGTAATAAATGTATTACTGATGGAACTCATTGTGTTGAAATTGATACTTGTGATAAATATAAAAAACAATAATCTTGTGTAAAAAGCTTATTAGATAATTTTTGTTATTGGGATACAAAAAATAATAATTGTGTTGATGCTGATACTTGTGATAAATTACCAATTAAATTTTAAACAGATAAAGAATGTAGACATGAAATACAAAGTTGTACTGCAAAATCAGGAGGTGGATGTATTGATAGCGGAATTAATTGTAGTGATTAAATTTTAGAAATTTAATGTTTTTGGGATTAATCAATGAAAATGGAATGTTATTGGAATGGAACGTAATGTAAAGATAGGATATGTGATAATGCACCTACCACTTTAAATAATGATGATGCTTGTAAATTATTCAAAACTGATGGATCATGTACAACAAAACTAAATGGTGGATGTATTACTAGAACTACTTGTTAAGCTGCTTCAATATAAGCTGCATGTATTAAAAATAGTACAAATGAAAGATTGTTATTGGACTGGAACTGCATGTGTGGATAAAATATGTTCAAATGCACCAACTACATTAACAACTAATTCAGCTTGCGAAACTTTTTCAAAAGGATGCATAACAAAGTAAGGGGGAGGATGTGTTCTAAATGGAGATTGCTCAGCTGCTAATATTTCAACTGCATGTGTTAAAAATATCAATAATTTTGATTGTATTTGGGATTCAACTTGCAAAGAGAAAACATGTGTAAATGCTCCAAAATCAAATACTACTCATGATTAATGTACTTCTTATTTATCAACATGTACAGTTTAATAAGGAGGAGGATGTCAATAGAGAACGTGTGACAATGCTCCTATAACATTGAATACAAATGATGCATGTGAAACTTATTTACCTGCAAATAAATGTATAACCAAAAATGGAGGTGGATGTACAATAAACACCACTTGTTCACTCATCTCAATAGATGTTGCTTGTATCAAAAATTCATTAGGCTAATCTTGCTTTTGGCATGTTGCAAGTGGAAGTTGCAAAGACAAAATTTGTGTAAATGCTCCCTCTAGTAATAATAGTCATGAACTTTGTTAATAATTTTTGAATTCTTGCACTGTGAATTCTACAAATACAGGATGTGTAGAAAAAACTTGTGAGAATTCATTAACTTTATCAACTTGTGATAAAGACTTAAACAACAACATGTGCATTTGGAAAGCAAGATGTTATAAGAAATAATGCGCAATGGCTTCAAGTTCAATAACATCTCATTCTGAGTGTTAAACTTATTATTCAAGTTGTACATTAAGCAACACTGGAAAAGGATGTGTTACATTACCTCTCAAATGTGAAGCAATTACAATAGAAGCTGCTTGCAAGATAAAGGCTAATAAATAATCTTGTGGTTGGACAGGATCTTAATGTATTGAAAAAGCTTGCAATACTGCGCCAAAAACTATTTAAACAACTTTAGACTGTCAAACTTACTTATCTTCTTGTGTTGCTAATAATCCAGTTACTGTAAATGGTAGCTCAACTATTTAAGGATGCTAAGATTTACCTAAAACTTGCGATTCTAGAAAATCATCTGAAAATTGTAATATTACAAGAGCAGCATTTCCAACCTGTTTTTGGGATTCTTCATCTAACAAATGTGTTGAAGAAATCCTGTACAACTGCAAATTTATCAGGCACACCAGGAGCACTTTCAAAAGGGTAATTCACATTTGATAATTGTTAAAGTTATATGAGCACATGCACAACTACTAATGCTCAAGGTAGTTGTACTCAAACATCATATCCTTGCATTTCAAATAATATTTAAGATGGATGTATGGTTAAGCCCACAAGTTGTTCATAGTTAGTTCAGTAAAATTGTAAAGATGGATCTAAATCTATTGGAGATTGTTATTGGAATGGATCTAATTGTGTTGAAAAGATATGTACTAATATAATATTAAAAACACATAACGATTGCTATAATATATTCAATCAATGTACCGTCAATGATGATGGCACAGCATGTATACCATTAGCCACTGCTTGTAATTCATATAAAATTTAAGAGAATTGTAAAATTTCATCTACATAGAAGAATTGTTATTGGACAGGAATAGTTTGTAGAAATGCAATTTGTGATGATACTCCAGATTCTGATCTATTTGATTCAGATGAAGAATGTCTTAAATATCAAACTCAAAATGAAACTTGTACAATAATTGCAAAAGCGGGAGGTCAAGGGTGTGTTTAAAAATAGCCAGTTTGTTCGAATTACAAGACATCTAATTAATGCCATAAAACTTTATCAAATTTAAATGCTTAAGATGATTGTAAATGGATTAATGGAATATGTTATTCATTGTCAACTTTTGCAACAGGAGCTTGTTCTACGTTTAAAGGAACATAAGATATGTGCAAAGCTTATAGATTGGGATGTACAAACGTAGCTAATGCTAGTAACTTCAACTGCATGTACATTAGATTGTACTTTAAAAATTGGAAGTGGATTGACATTCTAAGATTGTTAAAATATGGATCCAACTTGTTCGGTTAAAAAGGATGGTAGTGGTTGTATTGTAATTTAATCTACATGTGCAGGATATGGAACAACAGATGTAAATTGTTATAAATCAAATGCAACTGGAACACAAGCAAATTGTCTCATGAATAAAGCCACACCACCAAGTTGTTAATCAGTGAGTTCAGCGTCTGATTGTGCACTTGTAAGTGGATCAGGACTTGATCATGCTAAATGCTAAGCATATAATATTGCATGTACATCTTTAGGTAATGGAAATGGGTGTTAAGAAGTTAAGGCAAATTGCACTGCTTATACTGGTAATGCTGATAATTGCACAGTATCATAATAAGGACAATGCTTTTTAAATGGTTCTGATTGTATTCGTTTTTCTAATTGCTTTTCAATTACTGGAACAAACCTTACTCATGAAATCTGTAGTTCCTATAACACTGATTGCACAGTAAATAAATAAAAAACAGCATGTTAAGATAAGAGAGCCACATGTGATTTATACAGATCTCAAGAATAATGCACCGTATCTGCAGCTGAATCCAAAGAAAGTTAATGTGTCTGGAGTGGTACAGCATGTCTTGCTGTTAAAGTAGTTGCTACTGATTGTTCCTACATAACTGGAACAAACTTGACCAATTCATTTTGCGCTACATACAATGATAATTGCACTTTAAATTATGAAAAGACAGCCTGTTAGGAGAAAAAAGCTTCATGTGGTTTATATTCAACTAAAAGTTCATGTACTCTATCATAGGTGACTGGATCAGCAGGCAAATGTTTATGGAATAATGGAGGGTGTACTTTTATGACATCACTCACTAATTTTGCTAATTCTATTTTTGGGACTAAAATAACAAATGCAAGATGTGAATAGTTCCATCCAGCATTTGCAGTAACAAAAGTAGAATATGGCTGCTTTGTAAAAAAAAGTTCATGTAGTATGTACACAGAAGACTATTGTACAACATCCTCAGCATCAGGCACAGCAGCATATTGTTTTTGGGATGGTTCAAAATGTTAGCCACACACATCTAGTTCTCTATGCAAATCTTTTACAGGAGATCAATTACCTGAGAGTTATTGCCCTTCAGCTAATCCATTGTGTACAACAAAATTAACGAGAGACGGTTGTTATCAACAGAAGGCTAATTGTTCAGATTATGGTGTTGAAGGTGATTGCTAATAATCATTAGCTTCTGGTACAGCAGGATTTTGTATATGGACTGGTTCAACTTGCACTTATGTGACAGACCCTGCCAATCAATGTACTAAAGTTAACACCACTATTATTACTACAGAGACACTTTGTGCTAGTTATCATGCTTCTTGTATTCCTTACTTTGGTGAAGGAGGATGTCAATAGATTCAATCAAATTGTGCTTCATACTTAGCTAAAAACTCCTGTTATAAATCATTGAACGAAGGTTATTGTGCTTGGATAAATAACAGTTGTATACATATAACAAGCCCGAGTCAATGTGCTTCAGTTTCTGGTTCTAATTTGACTAGTACTTATTGCAATGGATTACATGAAGAATGCTGGACAACTTTAAGAAAAAATGGTTGCTATTAGATGAAAAATACTTGTGCAGAATACTTAACGAATGACAGTATTTGTGTTAGAAGTAAAAATGAAGGACTCTGTGGTTGGTTCGATACTTCTGGGTGTTATAAAATAACATCTCCAAGCTAATGCGATACCATGGTCATAATGTAGATAGACCCCAATTTTAAAACAACAGATGCCTTCTGCGCTACTTTTCATCCTGGCTGCATTGCAAATATCAGTAAAATGGGTTGTTAAGAACTGTTAGCAAGTTGTTCATCATATAAAGATTTAGATAAATGTATTTAAGCTGGAAATTCACAAGTTAAAGTACAATGTTTTTGGAAAGATGGAACTTGCAATTAGATAATAGATCCTGCTAATCAATGTGCCAATATTCCATTTTCAATTAATATAACTGACGCCGAATGTGCATCCTATTCTAGTGGTTGCACTGTCAAAAAAACATAAAATTACTGTCAAGTAAGAAAAGCAGTTTGTGCGAATTATACAACAAATATTGATTGTACATATTCAGCTGCTGCACCTCCTTACCAATTTATGTGTTTTTATCAATTCTAATTGTGTTGTTGCAAGAGAATTGTTAACTGATTGTGCTGCCATTACTGCAACTTCAGGTTTGACTGATACCGATTGCTCTGAGTATAACCCTACATGCGTATCAAATAAACCTGGAACTGCTCGTTAAGATAAAAAAAGCTCATGTTCTGATTACCAAAATTAAGATTAATGTACTGTTTCCTCAAGTTCTAAATGCATTTGGAAATCTAGTTGTATTTCTATTAATAATGCTTCTACTGACTGTGTATATGTAGTTGGTACAAATTTAACTCATGATATTTGTGTCTCTTATAACGTTGGATGCACAGTAAATAAAACAGGAACCTCTTGTTAAGAAATGAAAAACACTTGTGCAGAGTATACAAAAAGTGACAACTGCACTAGGTCGTAAGATTCTGGAACATCAAGTAATTGTGTCTGGCATTCTACATGCACTTCTGTCACCAATGCTAGTACCGATTGTGGTTATGTAACTGGTATCAATCTGACCAAAGATGTATGTGCTTTATATAATGATAATTGCACGGTTAATTATTCAGGAACTGCTTGTTAGGAAAAGAAATCCAGTTGTTCAGCTTATACTTTGAAAGAAAATTGTTCAGCAAATTGCATATGGGATGAAGCATTAAAATGCATTTCTGTCTCAGATCCTTCTACTTAATGCAGCTTAGTGAATGGAAAGACAGGACTCAACCTTGACATGTGTAAATTATATCATAGTGAATGTGTTAATTTAAAGGATGGTACTGCATGTTAACACGTATAGGCAGATTGTAAGAATTATACAACTTAAAATTAATGTGTTGCAATAAGTAATGGTACTTCCTGTTTATGGTATGAAAATTCTTGCTACAAAATAACAGGAACAACTTGTAATAAAATTACTGGGACTAGTCTAAATCATAATATATGTTAGTCATATAACAAAGAGTGCACTTCAGTAAGTGATGGCACTTAATGTTAAGATTATAAGTCAACATGCGAATAGTATGTAGGAACAACTGAATCTTGTATTTAATCTGTAAATGGAAAATGCTACCTCTATAATTCAAATACTTGCATTACTATTTTAAATGTTTCTACCGATTGTGCTAAGATTACAGGTGTATCATTAACTTATGAAATATGTTAATCATATAATTTGGGATGCAGTGTTAATAGAGCCAAAACTGCTTGTGTTTAAAAAGCAGCTTAATGTTCTGGATATTCAACTGCTATGAGTGGTTGCTATCAAGCAGGAGAAGGATTATGTATTGCATCCAGTAGTAATGATTCAGCATGTGTGCCTGCCTCAAGTTCCTCTACCTGTGAAAACGTATTTTTAGGAACAGGCAATTATACTCATGATAATTGTAGTACAATGAAAACTGGATGTACTGTAAATGGAAGTACAGGATGTATGGCTAGAACTTGTGCAAATGCCACAGGTTTTACATTTAATCATGATAATTGTTATTCTTGGTTGAAAACTTGTACAGTAAATTAGACTAATAATGGTTGCACTATCATGACTGCCAAATGTTCAGATTAATCATCTACTTAATGTCTAAATGCAATAGAAGGAGTGTGTCTAGTGTTTAATTCTATTTGTATTAGAAAAGGATGTGATACAGCTCCATCAGATGCTTCTCATGATGATGATACAGAATGTTCTAATTATTCATAGGCTTGTACAGTTGCAAGAGCAGGTGGATGTCAAGTAAGAACTGCATGTTCATTATATAAATCATCATTATAATGTAAATTAGATATGAATGATAAAAAATGTTTCTGGAATCCTTCTGTTAAGACATGTGTTGATTTGGCTTGTGCAAATATAGAGGTTTCAAATTTATATAATACTCATGCTAAATGCTTTGCAGTTGATTCAAATTTAGGTTGTACAGTCAGAGCACTTAATAAAGTAGTTGCTCCTGGTTGCATGGCAAGAGGACCATGTAGTTCATATACTATTAAAGATTAATGCATAACTAATGCTAGTGGAATAGATTGTGCTTGGAATACAAGTAGTAGTTTACCTGAACCTGCTTGCTAGGATAAGTCATGTACAACTGCTCCTAGCTCCACATTAACTCACAATGATTGCTTCAATTATTATAATACATCAACTATTAAATGTACTGTGTATGCTATTCCAGATGCTAATGGTGGATAACCAATTCTAAGAGGATGTTAATAAACTGCAGCCTGTTCAACTTATATTGATAGTGAGTAATGTAAAATAAATGCTGCTGGTGATCCTTGTGGATGGAATGGAAAAGAATGCAATGATAAATCTTGTTCCACTGCTCCTGCTACATCAGAATATGACGATAATACAAAATGTAGAGCTTATTTGAACAATCAATGCACAGTATCATCAGAAGGATAAGGTTGTATAGATATTCCAGAGAGTTGTGAGTCAATGAATTAGAAACAATGTTATTTCAATAGTACTGGACAATCCTGTTATTGGACTGGAACAGAGTGTATTACTAAATCTTGTGAAAATGCTCCAATAGAAACAGCTACAGCTGAACAATGCAATAACTATTTATATGGATGTACAATAGATGTTATAAAATGCAAAATTAAAATCTGCGAAGATTATGTTTTAACAACTGATGAACAATGTAGTTATGCGTTATCTACATGTACTACAAATGGTGTTAATTGTGTTACCAGAGGAACATGTGTTTAAGCTTAAAATAAAGCTGGATGTGTTGTATCTTCTACTGGATAATCTTGTGAATGGATACCTGATGTCGTAAATTCTCAAAATGTTGTAACTACTGCAGCATATTGTACAATTAAAACTTGTAATACTGCCCCAATTAGTTTATAGACTGATGTAGATTGTGGAAAGTATTTTACAAATTGTACAACTAAAAGTGGAGGAGGTTGTGTTACTAAATCAAGTTGTTCTGCTGCCTCTGTAAATGCTGCTTGTATAACTGCATTAAACGGTACAATATGTGTATGGGATAATACATTAAATAAATGTAGAGATAAAGATTGTTAAGATTTTATAGGAACAACTCACACCATTTGTTAAACTTAAAGATAAGGATGTACTGCTGGACCTAATGGTAGATGTGCTAGAGTTTAAAGTTGTGAATTAACTACTATTAGAGAAGCTTGTATTGAAGGTACAAATGGACCATGTTTATGGATTGAGAAGTTTGTCAATAATGATGGGTCAAAAGGAGCTTGTTTTGCATATACATCATGCAAGAGTTTAGCTTGGAATAGTGATGAATCTTGTAAATTAATAAGTAATAAATGTACAACTAATGGAACTAATTGTATTGGAATTACTACATGTACTGAGACAAATATTGATGGTGGATGTGTTACAGGGTATGATGGATCTTGCATTTAATCTGTTCCTGCTTTGAATTCTTCTGATCCTAAGATTTGTAAACCATTTAAATCATGTGCAGATGCCTTTTATGCAACTCATAAAGATTGTTAAATTGCTAATAAAAAATGTACAACAGATGGAACTACTGGTTGCATTCCTTTAGGTGCATGTTCAACTTATAAATCTTAACCAGGATGTTAGATAAATGATAAAGGATATGTAGTTGAATCTGGTGTTATAACTTCAACAGGTGTTTGTACTTGGGATATGAGTACAAGTGTTTGTAGAGATTAAATTTGCTCTGATTTGAATGGTGTTACTGATTCAATTTGTAATTCTTAATTATCAACATGTACTTCAGATGGTACTAAATGTTTACTTAAAACAAATTGTTCTAGTTATTATACCTAAGTTATTTGTTCATCAGCTGTTGGAAATGATGGACTTTGTTTTTGGGAAGTTGGTTCTGCTTCAAATAATAATACAGCCAAATGTAGATTACTCTCTTGTGCTGATATTCAAAATGGAACATCCATTAGTATTTGTTAAGCTGCTTTACCATCATGCATTTCAAATGGAACTGTTTGTATCCCAAAGGCCAAATGTTCAACTTACACAACTAAAACAGCATGCAATTTTGGTGGATTAGATGGAATTTGTGTATTTACATAATCAACTTCTGCATAGGCTGTGCCTGATAGTGGAACTTGTTCTTTAATGAATTCATGTTCATCTCGCAAATAATGATTAAAGTGCTTGTGTAGCTGCATAAGATAGATGTTCATGGAGTCCTGCTAGTTCTAGTATTACAAGTATATGTACAAGTCATACATGTGGTACATATAATTAAGTGAGTGGAACTTGTTCAAGATTCTTTAATTGGGATAACATAATCATAATAGATATGTTCTATGATTAATGGAATATGCAGAGCCACTATACACATCAACATTAATATAAAGTGATGTTCTTAAACTTTCAGGATACACATATACATGGAATAGTTAATCAAACAAATGCTAAGTTTGTACTAAAAAAGATTAGCCAAATGGTCCTATCAATAATACAATCAATTATACAAATAACTCTAATACAGCTTAAGGGTTATTATTAACATTCATCTTAGGCTATTTGATGATTTGATAATATTAGAATATAAATTAATTTATTTTTATAAAAAATCATTCTACTAAATAGTAATTGTTAATTAATTAATTAATTAGTTATTATCAATTAATATCTCTACCAACAAACACTCTTGTTAAGGAAATCTACTGATCTTATTATATATTTTCATAATGTTATTGAAGTGGTTCAAGAGGGTGATTTTTAATATTATTAATGATAATTATGGCAAAGATTAATTTTAACTTTAATATCTTATTTTTTATGCTGATTAAAAATGCGAATGAATTATAGTTTATTGTTGATATTATTTTTAATCTTAACTGTGTTGTAAAAATGAATAATTTGTCTATGAGGGATTTCATCTATATTATGCATGCAACAAATATGCTTTATTTGGATTGATTGAAAAGAGGATGAGGGTTTTGTTATTAAAAAAACTTCATAATGCATATTGTTGCAGATATTTTTCATATATAACGTTTCCTAAAAAATTTAATGATATGAATTTCTTTTTCTCTTAATATAAAAAAATTTTTTCAGTAAAATCTTGCTAAGATACAACTTTAAAGCGATGATGATTCTAAATAAAACTAACTTTTCTTTACTGAATTAAAAATTAAAACAAAAAGAACGCCAGAAAAATTCAATAATTTAAGTCTATTAATTAATATCATGAAAATTCACTTATTTTATCCATTTAAAAAGATTTTTGAGTTATTTGAAAATAAAAACAATCCTTTATCATACTATCATACTACCAACCATCAATATTTAAATTAATTTTATAAAGAAAGGTGAATTGATTATAAATCTTATTATTTTTTCGCATTAATCCAGCTTAAAACTTTAAATCATATGCTTCTAACACATAACATATTGTAGATTTTTTATCTAGTCAATAAAATACCTCATTTAATTGACTAAACGGAAAATTGATATTCTGTTATGACGCCAATTCAAAATTTCCTGTATTTTTTTTGGCCTAAAATTTAGCTATTTATTGTTACCTAAATTAGCCCCGATATTATAAATTCTTACAATATGAGTGATTTATTAATTAATGAATAGAAATTATGAATTAAATATATAAGAATAGTAGACAATTATATGAACAACAATATGCATTTAAAAATTTGTTTTAAAATTAGTAATAGATATAACATTGAAAGTTGTGAAGCAAATTTGTATGGCTGTACCATCATTCATGAGATCCTAAAACATTTTATGGATGAATTATTCTCAACAAAGTTTGTATTAAATGTTATTTTTTTATTCACTTTTGAATTAATCAACTCTATTTGCTTTTCTATTGGTATTTGTTGCCTTATATAATACCTTAAATGGAAAATCAATGTCCATATGAAAGTTATTTTCAATTTTGATGCAAATAGTAATGAGTTGGTAATACTTAAAAATAAAAGATAACGTTGTTTTCATGGAGTAACCTTAGGAAGTTTTCCTCATCATTACTTTCAACATTTACTAACAGTTCTCAGAAAAAATTATGTAATAAATAATTTTCTTGGAATTGACCAAAATGACCTTTATGAAGAAGGGCTTGGCTTTATAAATGAGAAGTATTTTGGTTTTCTTCTGGATATTTTATTAATTTCTTAGAATCTAAATCTTCAAATTAATGCAAAAATGGACTATTATGAAAATCACTAGAAGATTAATTGTATATTAAAACTTTCGATAAATTAAAGGAAATAATTTATTTTTTGTTTTTATAAATCGTTTCTTGTCTAATTAATGGCAGATTTTAGATTTTATTTAGATGAAATTCTATCCTATTTCAAAAGAGCTATCCAAATTATCTCTATAAATTTGGAAATCATAATTAAATGGTTTTTATATATTGAATTTGAAATGGAAAAAGAGAATATAAAAGCTGAAAATATTGAAATTTTCTGTCATTTCATGGAAAGAGAAAATTTAGATGATAAAGTATTAAACGAAAGGCTAATTTTAGAATATTATGTTTTGAGTTATTAATTATGTAGTTATTTAAAGATAAACTAAAATATTATCATCACTAAAGATATTCAAATAATTATATAGATAAGCTCGTGAGAAAAATATTATATTAAGATTCTCCTGAATCTTTACATCTTGTCTATCCAAATTATTTCTCAAAAAAATTTACAGGTTAATAAATACTTTAGAATAATTATAAGCCATTTTATAGATGCAGAATCATTATTGATATAAATAATAAAATAAAAACTTAATATATCATTTGACAAAATAAAAAAAACTAAAATAAAAGCATCCATCATCTTAATAAGAAAAGGTATTTCAAAAATTTGCTGTTAAACCCCTTAAACTCTCACGCTCTCTCTAATGATTATTTTTTAAACCAAAATTGAATCCTTACAAGAATAATTATGAGCTGAACTAATGCATTTATTTTGTAATCATAATAAAAGCCTTATCCATTAAAGAAACATCATTTTTAGACAATAACATAATTGAATTGTTTTTTAAACGAATTACATCATTTTTATAGCAATTGGTTTTAGTTTTATTCAATTATAATAAGGTTTCCTTTTACTTAAAAAATCGAACATTCAAGATAGATAAAGAAAAAATTTTTAAAATTCAAAACAAAAAACGGAATTAATTTTTCTAATTTAAAAATGAAAGAACTTAATTATATAATTTATTAAAGAATATTTTATTCTAATTTAATTTAAGAAATAATATAATAATCTTCATCTCAGAATATATTAGTTAGATGATTTCTGGCTCGATGACCTAATTGCTTTTAATAAATTGATTTTAGTATATATATTTTATTAAAAGACTTTCTCAGCCATTAAGATTACAATAGGCTTCACTTCAAGAGACATTAAATTATATAAGCAAATATCTGGTTATTAAAATTAACATAGGTCCATTTTTAAATTACTATTAACAACTATACTACCATAGATTGTTTATGCTTAAATAATATAATTTTAAGATTTTTAGATAGTTATTCTAATCTTTAAATGAAATAACAGAAATTCTTCTAATATATTAAATTTCTTTATTATTCAACTTTAATAGTTGATTTTTATTTTTATTACTATAATTACAATATATGTTTATAGTACAACTCAGGCTAAATTGATGACTTCTCTATTGATAACTATTTACATCATTTTAAAATTATGTTTCTTCCTTAAATTAATACCCGCATAGGCAACTAATCATGTATCAACAAGTATTTTCTATTATTCTTTTGACTTATGTAAGATTCAACTGAGTCAACATGAGTTGCTGTCCTAATATTTATTCCGCCAATTTTTCATATATTTTACATTTGAAAAATGGGAAAATAAAATAAAATGCATCTCCTCAAAAATGTTATAAATATTTACTAATTGCATAAAAACTAATTTACCTTGTCCTATTAAGTAAGAAAGTACATCTAATTAAATTCTCAAAGTTAGTTAAGTACATTTTTTATTTAACAAAACTTTCTTCAATTGTTAAATTATTCAAAAAATATATGGGGAGGGCTTTTGTCTTTACTCTAAGGGAACCTCGCTTTTTGATAATTTTATATTTTAACCAATTCATTCATCTAAGAAAATATATAATATTACTTTTATTAAAGCATAAAGAATAGCATTTGTGCAATTTGCAATTCAACAAATGGTTTTTTAAGTAATGGATAGAAGTTCGAATCATCTAACAAAACTAAAAGAATAAATGAAGGCTAGGATCAGTTGATGACATTATTTATCAAGATTAGAGTAAATGATGAAAGAGGAAGAATGAAGGAATGGGATATTTAGATAATATGAGTTATAAAGAAGGAGAGAATACTTAAAATTAGTATAACGAGAAGTCAAAAGCAATAGTGGATGGTTACTATATATGTTTATTGTATTTTTATCAATCTACCATTGATTAGTTATGAATAATTGATGATAGTGCATCTAGATTGGGTATTACAATTAAGTAACTACGTAACTGTCAGCTAAGAGTCTACTCATTATGTTGTCTTGACAGCAAGAATGTTCATTAATTTAATTAATGATGAGGGTTGATTTCAATATTTAATTATGCTTAAGGCTATTGGAAAAATAACTATGTATTCCAATAAGACAAAAATATAACATTCTTGAATTATTCAAAAATAAATAATAAAATTATAATGAATTACTTTTTATGAATATTAAAGTATTGATCCTGGCCTTATTGGTTGCTCTTATAACAAGCTAATAGTATAGTATTTCTTAATGTGATTGTTCCTAATTGTTATCAGAAGATGATTGCTCAAAAAATGATATGATCAAATGTTAATGGGATAGCACAAAGAAGACATGTAAAAATTAGGATACAACAACTAATCCAGTTATAAACTATGCAAAATATTGTGATAATTTTAAAGAAATGGAATGTCCAAAACAAAAACCATGTAGCAATTGTGGATCTTACTCTGCATGTGCTTGGGTCGATGGATAGTGTACATTTTTTACAGATTGCACAGTATTTAATAAAACAACAGATTCAGATTGTTAAGCTATTAGTAATAAATGTATTACTGATGGAACTCATTGTGTTGAAATTGATACTTGTGATAAATATAAAAAACAATAATCTTGTGTAAAAAACTTATAAGATAATTTATGTTATTGGGATACTAAAAATAATAATTGTGTTGATGCTGATACTTGTGATAAATTACCAATTAAATTTCAAACAGATAAAGAATGTAGACATGAAATACAAAGTTGTACTGCAAAATCAGGAGGTGGATGTATTGATAGTGGAATTAGTTGTACTGATTAAAATTTAGAAATTTAATGTGTTTGGGATTAATCAATGAAAATGGAATGTTATTGGAATGGAACATAATGTAAAGATAGAATATGTGATAATGCACCTACTACTTTAAATACTGATGATTCTTGTAAATTATTCAAAACTGATGGATCATGTACAACAAAACAAAATGGTGGATGTATCACTAGAACTACTTGTTAAGCTGCTACAATATAAGCTGCATGTATTAAAAATAGTACAAATGAAGATTGTTATTGGACTGGAACTGCATGTGTGGATAAAATATGCTCAAATGCACCAACTACATTAACAACTAATTCAGCTTGTGTAGCATTTTCAAAAGCATGCATAACAAAGTAAGGAGGAGGTTGTGTACTTAATGGAGATTGCTCAACTGCCAATATTTCAACTGCATGTGTTAAAAATCATCAATAAATTTTGATTGTATTTGGGAATTCAACTTGCAAAGAAAAAACATGTATAAATGCTCCAAAATCTAATACTACTCATGATTAATGTACTTCTTATTTATCTTCTTGTACTGTGTAATCAGGAGGGGGATGTCAATAGAGAACATGTGACAATGCTCCTACAACATTGAATACAAATGATGCATGTGAAAAATATTTACCTGCAAATAAATGTATAACCAAAAATGGAGGTGGATGTACAATAAACACCACTTGTTCACTCATCTCAATAGAAGTTGCTTGTATCAAAAATTCATTTGGCTAACCTTGTTTTTGGCATGCTGCAAGTGGAAGTTGCAAAGACAAAATTTGTGCAAATGCTCCATCTAGTAATAATAATCACGAACTTTGTTAATCTTTTTTGAATACATGTACTGTGAATTCTACAAATACAGGATGTGTTGAAAAAACATGTGAGAATTCATTAACTTTATCAACTTGTGATAAAGATTTAAACAACAATATATGCATCTGGAAAGCAAGGTGTTATATGAAATCATGCGCAATGGCTTCAAATTCAATAACATCTCATTCTGAATGTCAAACTTATTATTCAAGTTGTACATTAAGCAACACTGGAAAAGGATGTGTAACAATACCTCTGAAATGTGAAGCAATTACAATAGAAGCTGCTTGCAAAATAAAAGCTAATAAATAATCTTGTGGTTGGACAGGATCTTAATGTCTTGATAAAGCTTGCAATACAGCTCCTAAAACTATTTAAACAACTTCAGACTGTCAAACTTACTTATCATCTTGTGTGGCTAATAATCCAGTTACAGTAAATGGAACCTCAACTATTTAAGGATGCCAAGATTTACCTAAGACTTGCGATGCTAGAAAATCATCTGAAAATTGTAATATCACAAGAGCAGCATTTCCCACCTGTTTTTGGGATTCTTCATCTAACAAATGCGTTGAAAAATCTTGTACAACTGCAAATTTATCAGGTTCACCAGGAGCACTTTCAAAAGGGTAATTCACATTTGATAATTGTTAAAGTTACATGAGCACATGCACAACTACTAATGCTCAAGGTAGTTGTACTTAAACATCATATCCTTGCATTTCAAATAATAGTTAAGATGGATGTATGGTTAAGCCCACAAGTTGTTCATAGTTAGTTTAGTAAAATTGTAAAGATGGATCTAAATCTAATGGTGATTGTTATTGGAATGGATCTAATTGTGTTGAAAAGATATGTTCTAATATTGTATCAACAACACATAACGATTGCTATAATATATTCAATTAATGTACCGTCAATGATGATGGCACAGCATGTATACCATTAGCTTCTGCTTGCACTTCATATAAAATTTAAGAGAATTGTAAAATAGCATCTACATAAAAGAATTGTTATTGGACAGGAACAGTTTGTAGAAATGCAATTTGCGATGACACTCCAGATTCTGATCTATTTGATTCAGATGAAGAATGTCTTAATATCAAACTCAGAATGAAACATGTACAATAATTGCAAAAAGTGGGAGCTTAAGGGTGTGTACAAAAATAACCGGTTTGTTCAAATTACAAGACTTCCAGTTAATGTCACAAGACTTTATCAAATTTAAATGCTTAAGATGATTGTAAATGGATTAATGGAATATGTTATTCATTATCAACTTTTGCAACAGGACCTTGCTCTACATTTAAAGGAACACAAGATATATGCAAAGCTTATAGATAGGGATGTACAAATGTAGCTAATGCTAGTACTTCAACTGCATGTACTTTGGATTGTACTTTAAAAATTGGAAGTGGATTGACATTCTAAGATTGCTAAAATGTGGATCCAACTTGTTCGGTTAAAAAGGATGGTAGTGGTTGTATTGTAATTTAATCTACTTGTACAGGATATGGGACAACAGCTGCAAATTGTTATAAATCAAATTAAACTGGATCACAATCAAATTGTGTCATGAATAAAGCCACACCACCAAGTTGTTAATCAGTGAGTTCAGCATCTGATTGTGCACTTATAAGTGGATCAGGACTTGATCATGCCAAATGCTAAGCATTTAATATTGCTTGTACATCTTTAGGTAACGGAAGTGGGTGTTAAGAGTTTAAAGCAAATTGCACTTCTTATACTGGTAATACTGATAATTGCACAGTCTCTTAATAAGGACTATGCTTTTTAAGTGGTTTTGATTGTATTCGTTTTTATAATTGCTTTTCAATTACTGGAACAAACCTTACTCATGAAATATGTATTGGCTATAGCACTGATTGCACAGTAAATAAATAAAAAACAGCATGTTAAGATATGAAAGCCACATGTGATTTATACCCATCCCAAGAATAATGCACAATATCTGCAGCTGAGTAAAAGGCAAGTTAATGTGCTTGGAGTGGAACAGCATGTCTTGCTGTTACAGTAGCTGCTACTCATTGTTCATACATAACTGGAACTTACTTGACCGATTCATTTTGTGCTACTTATAATGATAATTGCATAGTAAATTATAGAAAGAACGCTTGTTAGGAGAAAAAAGCTACATGTGATTTATACCCATCTCATGATTAATGTACAATATCTGCAGCTGAATCCAAAGAAAGTTAATGTATTTGGAGTGGAACAGCTTGCCTTGCAGTTACAGTAGTTGCTACTCATTGTTCCTTAGTAACTGGAACAAATCTGACCGATTCATTTTGTGCTACCTACAATGATAATTGCACTGTAAATTACGAAAAGACTGCTTGTTAGGAGAAAAAAGCTTAATGTGGTTTATATTTAACTAAAAGCTCATGTACTCTATCATAGGCAGCTGATACAGCAGGAAAATGTATATGGAATAATGAAAGGTGTCGTATTATGACATCACTTGCTACAATTGGTAAATCTGTTATAGGGGAAAAAATGAAAAATGCAAGATGTATAGAGATCAATCCAGCTTTGGCAGTTACAGTGTATGGAGATGAATGCTTTGTAAAATAAACTTCATGTAGTATGTACACAATAGAAAAGTATTGTTCACATTCCTCAGCATCAGGTGCAGCAGCTAATTGTATTTGGGATGGTTCACATTGTTAAGCATTTACATCTAATTCTCTGTGCAAATATATTTAATTATGGGGTATGGTAGTAGATGAGACTTATTGTCCTTCAGTTAATTCATAATGTATAGCAAATCTAGCCTTAGACGGCTGTTATGGAAAGAAGGCTAATTGTTCAGATTATGATACAAAAATTGAATGCTCATAATCTTTTGCTCCTGGAACAGCAGGATTTTGTATATGGACAGGTTCAATTTGCACTTATGTGAAAGACCCTTCGGTTGATTGTGCTAAAATTAACACCTCTATTAATACGACAGAGATACTTTGTGCTAGCTATCATGCTTTTTGTATTCCTTACTTAGGTGAAAAGGGATGTCAATAGATTCAATCAAATTGTTCCTCATACATGAATATTAAAAACTGTTATAAATCTTTGAATGACGGTTATTGTGCTTGGGTAAATAACAATTGTATACATATAACAAGTCCGAGTCAATGTGCTTCAGCTTCTGGTTCTAATTTGACTAGTACTTATTGCAATGGATTACATAAAGATTGCTGGGTGAATGCAGCAAAAGATAGTTGCTATTAGATGAAACAAACTTGTGCAGAATACGATAGGGGATAATCAATTTGTATTAGATCATTAATCGATGGAAATGCTGGACTCTGTGCTTGGAACTCTGTTTCTGGGTGTTATTAAACAACATCTGCCAGTTAATGCGATACCTAGGATTTTGACGGTGTAAACCCCTCTTCTGGAACAACAGATGCCTATTGCGCTAATTTTAATGCTGGCTGCATTGCAAAATTAAACAAATTTGGTTGTTAAAAATTATTAACAAGTTGTTCAGACTACACATAAGATACATGTAATTATGCTAGAAATTCAGGAGCTAAAGATAGATGTATTTGGATGGATTCAAAATGCAGTAAGTTAACAGTTCCTGCTACTGAATGTTATAATATTGATAGTCCAACAGATAATTAACCGTTTAGCGATAATTATTGTGCATCTTATCATAGTGGTTGCACAGTCGGAAACGAATTTAATATCTGTCTAGAAAGAAAAGCAGTTTGTGAAGATTATACAACACAATTTTTTTGCTTTTATTCAGCTGCCTCACCTCCTTTCAATGTATGTCTTTATATAAATTCTATTTGTGTTACTGCAAGAGATTTGTTAACTGATTGTGCTGCCATTACTGCATCTTCAGGTTTAACTGATTCCGATTGCTCTGGGTATAGCTCTACCTGCATATCAAATAAAGCTGGGACTGCTTGTTAAGATAAAAAAGACTAATGTTCTGATTACCAAAATTAGGATTAATGTACTGTTTCCTCGAGTTCTAAATGCATTTGGAAATCTAGTTGTATTTCTGTTAGTGATGCAACTACTGACTGTGCATATGTAGTTGGTACAGATTTAACTCATGATATTTGTGCGTCTTATAACAATGGATGCACAGTAAATAAAACAGGAACCTCTTGTTAAGAGATGAAAAATACTTGTGCAGATTATACAAAAAGTGAAAATTGCACTAGGTTCCAAAATTTTGGGTCGGCAAGTTACTGTTTATGGCATTCTTCATGCATCTCTGTCACTAATCTTACAACGGATTGTGCTTACATAACTGGTATAAATCTGACCAAAGATATATGTGCTTTATATCATAATAATTGCACAGTTAACTACTCAGGAACTGCTTGTTAGGAAAAGTAATCCAGTTGTTCAGATTATACTTTGAAAGAAAATTGTTTAGCAGGTAATTGCATATGGGATGAAGCATTAAAATGCATTTCTATATCAGATCCTTCTACTTAATGCAGCTTAGTGAATGGAAAGACAGGACTCAACCTTGACATGTGTAAATAATGTCATAGTAAATGTATTAATCTAAAGGATGGTACTGCATGTTAACACGTCTAGACCGATTGTACCAAATATAAAACTTAGAATTCATGTGTTTCATTGGCTAATGGTATTTCCTGTTTATGGTATGAAGATTCCTGCTACCAAATAGCATATACTTCTTGTAGTTCCATCATTTAGACTAATCTAAATCATAATATATGTTATTCATATAACAAAGGCTGCACTTCAGTAAGTGGATGGCACTTCATGCTAAGGTTATATGTCAACATGCGAATAGTATTCAGGAACGACTTAATCTTGTACTTAATCTGTAAATGGAAAATGCTACCTCTATAATTCAAACAAATGTATTACTATTTTAAATACTTCTACCGATTGTGCTAAGATTACAGGTGTATCATTAACTTATGAAATTTGTTAATCATATAATTTGGGATGTAGTGTTAATAGAGCTAAGACTGCTTGTGTTTAAAAAGCAGCATAATGTTCTGGATATTCAATTGCTATGGCTGGTTGCTATCAAGCAGGAGAAGGATTATGTTTTGCATCTACTAGTAATGATTCAGCATGTGTGCCTGCTTCAAGTGCATCTACCTGTGAAAAAGTATTTTTAGGAACAGGCAATTATACTCATGATAATTGTAGTGCAATCAAAACTGGATGTACTGTAAATGGAAGTACAGCATGTATGGCTAGAACTTGTGCAAATGCCACAGGTTTTACATTTAATCATGATAATTGTTATTCTTGGTTGAAAACTTGTACAGTAAATTAGACTAATAATGGTTGCACTATCATGACTGCCAAATGTTCAGATTAATCATCTACTTAATGTCTAAATGCAATAGAGGGAGTGTGTTTAGTGTTTAATTCTATTTGTATTAGAAAAGGATGTGATACAGCTCCATCAGATGCTTCTCATGATGATGATACAGAATGTTCTAATTATTCATAGGCTTGTACAGTTGCAAGAGCAGGTGGATGTCAAGTAAGAACTGCTTGTTCATTATATAAATCATCTCTATAATGTAAATTAGATATGAATGATAAAAAATGTTTCTGGAATCCATCTGTTAAGACATGTGTTGATTTGGCTTGTGCAAATATAGAAGTTTCAAATTTATATAATACTCATGCTAAATGCTTTGCAGTTGATTCAAATCTAGGTTGTACAGTAAGAGCACTTAATAAAGTAGTTGCTCCTGGTTGCATGGCAAGAGGACCATGTAGTTCATATACTATTAAAGATTAATGCATAACTAATGCCATTGGAATAGATATGTGCTTGGAATACAAATAGTAGTTTACCTGAACCTGCTTGCTAGGACAAGTCATGTACAACTGCTCCTAGTTCCACATTAACTCACAATGATTGGCTTCAATTATTATAATACACCAAGTAATCAAAATGTACAGTACATGCTATTCCAGATGCTAATGGTGGATAACCAATTTTAAGAGGATGTTAATAAACTGGCTGGCTTGTTCAACTTATATTGATAGTGAGTAATGCAAAATAAATGATGTTGGAGATCCTTGTGGATGGAATGGAAAAGAATGTAATGATAAATCTTGTTCCACTGCTCCTGCAACATCAGAATATGATGATGATACAAAATGTAAAGCCTATTTCAACAATAAATGTACAGTTTCATCAGATGGATAAGGATGTATAGATATTCCAGAGAGTTGTGAGTTAATGAATTAGAAACAATGTTATTACAATAGAACTGCACAACCCTGTTATGTTATTGGACTGGAACAGAGTGTATAACTAAATCTTGTGAAAATGCTCCAATAGAAACAGCAACAGCTGAATAATGTAATAACTATTTATATGGATGTACAAAAGATATTATAAAATGCAAAATTAAAATCTGTGAAGATTATATTTTAACAACAGATGAACAATGTAGTTATGCGTTATCTACATGTACAACAAATGGTATTAATTGTGTAACAAGAGGAACATGTGTTTAAGCTTAAAACAAAGCTGGATGTGTTGTATCTTCTACTGGATAATCTTGTGAATGGATACCAGATGTCGTAGATTCTCAAAATGTTGTAACTACTGCAGCATATTGTACAATTAAAACTTGTAATACTGCCCCAATTAGTTTATAAACAGATGTAGATTGTGCAAAGTATTTTACAAATTGTACAACTAAAAGTGGAGGAGGTTGTGTTGCTAAATCAAGTTGTTCTGCTGCTTCTGTAAATGCTGCTTGTATAACTGCATTAAATGGTACAATATGTGCATGGGATTATACATTAAATAAGTGTAGAGATAAAGACTGTTAAGATTTTATAGGAACAACTCACACCATTTGTTAAACTTAAAGATAAGGATGTACTGCTGGACCAAATGGTAGATGTGCTAGAGTTTAAAGTTGTGAATTAACTACTATTAGAGAAGCTTGTATTGAAGGCACAAATGGGCCTTGTTTATGGATTGAGAAGTTTGTCAATAATGATGGGTCAAAAGGAGCTTGTTTTGCATATACATCATGCAAGAGTTTAGCTTGGAATAGTGATGAATCTTGTAAATTAATAAGTAATAAATGTACAACTAATGGAACTAATTGTATTGGAATTACTACATGTACTGAGACAAATATTGATGGTGGATGTGTTACAGGGTATGATGGATCTTGCATTTAATCTGTTCCTGCTTTGAATTCATCTGATCCTAAGATTTGTAAACCATTTAAATCATGTGCAGATGCCTTTTATGCAACTCATAAAGATTGTTAAATTGCTAATAAAAAATGTACAACAGATGGAACTACGGGTTGCATTCCTTTAGGTGCATGTTCAACATACAAATCTTAACCAGGATGTTAGATAAATGATAAAGGATCTGTAGTTGAATCTGGTGTTATAACTTCAACAGGTGTTTGTACATGGGATTTGAGTACAAGTTCATGTAGAGATTAAATTTGCACTGATTTGAATGGTGTTACTCATGGAATTTGTAATTCTTAATTATCAACATGTACTTCAAATGGTACTAAATGTTTACTTAAAACAAATTGTTCTAGTTATTCAACCTAAATTATTTGTTCAACAGCTGTTGGAAATGATGGACTTTGCTTTTGGGAGGTTGGTTCTGCTTCAAATAATAATACAGCCAAATGTAGATTACTTTCTTGTGCTGATATTCAAAATGGAACATCTATTAGTGTTTGTTAAGCTGCTTTACCATCTTGCATTTCAAATGGAACTATTTGTATCCCAAAGGCTAAATGTTCAACTTACACAACTAAAACAGCATGCAATTTTGGTGGATTAGATGGAATTTGTGTATTTACATAATCAACTTCTGCATAGGCTGTGCCTGATAGTGGAACTTGTACTTTAATGAATTCATGTTCATCTGCAAATAATGATTAAAATGCTTGTGTAGCTGCATAAGATAGATGTTCATGGAGTGCAGCTAGTTCTAGTATTACAAGTATATGTACAAATCATACATGTGGTACATATAATTAAGTGAGTGGAACTTGTTCAAGATTCTTTAATTGGGATAAATAATCATAATAAATATGTTCTATGATTAATGGAATATGTAGAGCCACTGATCCATCAACATTAATATAAAGTGATTGTTTTAAACTTTCAGGATATACATATACATGGAATAGTTCAACAAACAAATGCTAAGTTTGTACTAAAAAAGATCAGCCAAATGGTCCTATCAATAATACAATCAATGATACAAATAATACGAATACAGCTTAAGGGTTATTATTAACATTCATCTTAGGCTATTTGATGATTTGATCATATTAGATTATAATATTAATTTATATAAATAATTTATACATAGTGTAGTAATTATTAAATGTTAATCAAATATTCTTGCCATTTAGATAGTCTACAAATAATGAACCAAGTGATTCTGATTGAAATTACTAGTTACATTTTGGACATTCTGCATTATAATAATTTCCTTTATATTAATTTATAAAAGATTATTAAAAACATTTCGGACAAGTGTATTTGATATTTCCAATTGAACTTAAGTAATTCTAGTAAAACTTATTCATTTTTTGTCCAGCATCCTCCTTAAATACCTTTTTTCTGATTCTGTTAAATCAGTTGTTTCCCAAAAACCTCTATAAACTAGTATTGGGTTCTTGCAAAGTTTAATCATTTCTAATCATATTATAATTTTTCCAAATATCTTTTGGTGGTTAAATTATTTATTATTGCACATCTAAAGTATCTGTATTTGCTTTATAATTAGTCTAGAAAGAAATCATTCTATAGCGTTATGATTAGAATGATAGGAATGTATATTAAGAATCGATCATTCATCTTTAAACAATTTTTTCTCAATCTATAATATTATCTTTATCTATTATAATTCCTAATTTCTCAATGAATTGCTTAAAATCCATCTTTTCCATTTCAATTAATTTATTAAATGAAAAAATCGTACTGTTGAGACATTTATAATTAATGCCATATTTGTAAAAACACACTTCGCATATTTATAGGATAAGAGTCAAAAGTTAACTTACGATTCATTTATTAATATTTGGTATCAATAAGCTTAAAATTTTGCATGAATTAGTATTTTGAGTTAATAACTGTTCCTTTCAGTATTTATTCTATCCTTCCAGTTCTTCTAATTTATTAATGAATTTCAAGCACAAGCTATCTTGCATATTAATTAAAAATTATAATAATCATTTACCATAAAACATTGCTATTATATTATCAACTATTCACTTCCCTGAAGAATACAATAATATGATTTTTATGCACAATAGATAGATGATTTAATATAGAATCTTATTGATTACATTAATATTTGATTATTAACATCTATACCCCATCATTTCTAGGACAATCACTTCTATTGTATAAAAATTCAATAAATTTGAGATTTTTCAACTAAATTGATTGATCATCAATTTTAATATTCCTAATTCACTTAAATTTCCTGTTCTTTAGATTTTGAATATTAATTAAATAAATGTAAATATAAGATGGAAACAATTTGATGCTTAACCTATCTAATGGTCCAATAGACAATAGTAGAAGATCCTGCACAAATGTGTTTTGTGCCATCTTTTATGCGGGCATATTGTTGAGTATCTTTGGGATAGGCTTGTACATGAATCAAAGCGGGAATGTATTGTTGATAGACAGAGGATATGACCCTGATCGTAAATAGAAACAAATATGATAAAGATAGACCATGTGGAATAGACACTTTGAGAGATTATCCATTCATCTACTTCACTACTCTCAATAGTGATTTCTTATGGAAGACTGTTTGCGTTTAGGAATGTCCGAGTGTTCCAGTTGCCAAACACAAACATTTGTAGTTCAATCCTCCAACAACTACAACTGTTCCGACAACAACAACACCCATAGGAACACCCCAAAATTCATAATTAAAATGCGCTGTAAATTCAGTAGTAACTTCTTGTAGTTAAGCCACATTATACAACAGCATTAAATGTAATATTAATATATATGCATATAGTCGATTAAAGAGTCTGCATTCCCACAGATCCAGATTAATTTAAGGTAGTTCAGGAAGCATTGAAAATGGGTTTCTTGCATTAATTAATTTCTGATATCAGTGGAGCCAAGTATACCTTATTTATATTCATTGTAATTGGAACTTGCTTTACCTTGTCATTCACTTACCTATTAAAGTGGTGTAGTAAGACTGTAATTTGGTTCATCATCTTTATCATCGTGGTGTTGTCCATCTTCTTTGGCTATTATAGTTATCTGTAATATAGGGCATCGTAATGAATATATCTATCCAAATAGATCTAGTATGACTATCGGTTTATCCCCGACTGGATATCTATTATAATCAATAATTTGGTGGTGTTTTGGATTGGGTACAATAATCTTGACAATTTGTTTTTACAAACGAATCAATCTAGCCATTGCCATCATTAAGTCAGCATCTGATTTTGTCACTAAGAATGTCAGTATTGTCATTGTCCCTATATTCTCGACTCTTGCCACTTTTATTTTCACCATTATTTTTATATACATAGCATTGTAATTATACAATTAAAACTAGTTTAATATGTTCAACTGGTACACCTGGAGATAAATAATAGTAATGGCCTTTTGGGTAATTGAAATACACAGTACTTTAATACTTTAGTGGATTCTATTTGTTATTTGCCACCTTTTGGACATATGCTTTGATTATTGGAGTCAATAGCTTTATCATAGCAGGTTCAGTGTGTGTGTGGTATTGGCAACAAGGAAAGAGTGGTTAAGAACATGTGTAACCACTCAATTCATCGTGGAAGAGATGTTTTGTCTACCATTTTGGTTCAATTGTCTTGGGTGCCCTATTATTGGGATTAATCTCAATTTTTAGATCTTTTTTCGAGTATCTATATGTATTTAGTATTCATATAATCAAAATAGAGAAATGCTGAGTATATGAGAAATACAGATGGCTGTCAATTTTGTTTTAAGTGTTGTGCATGTTGCATATGGTGTTTTGAAAGGTTTTTACAATATTTGAATCAGAATATCTATGTCTAAATTAACATGACTGGAGATGGGTTCTTTCATGCTGCCAAAAAAGGTTTGGATATTATGTCTAATAATCCTTCTATTGTTATGTAAGTAGTGGGATTGGGAGATCTGATAAATAACATTGCAAGAATCATGATTACATTATCAATCTCTATGTTCTTTTTTAGATCCATTTCTGAATTGCCTCAACTATTATTTGGAGGCATTGTCATTAATCCATACAATCCAACCTTATTATTGGCAATCATTATCTTTGTCATTGCCACTGTGTTTACCAATATTTTTGGAGTGGCCATTGAAAGCATTCTCCATTTATATTGCATTGATTAAGAAATAGCCAGGGCCAAACAGAGTTCAGAAGATGCTGAAATGTGTCCTGCGGTATTATTGATTATATATTATTATAATAGGCTTTAAGAGAATTTTTAAATGACAAAGTGTTTACATAATAAAAATGAAATATTAATAAAGAATTCATAATCAATAATCTTTTTTTGTATTCGTTCTTGACAACTTATTATTGATGCTCTTTTGACTTTAATTTTATTCCTCCAAATCCAACGTTGACAGGAAATCTTTAATTTTATTAACATTTTCATTTAAATCATTCAATAATACCCAATATGAATAAAAGCTTTCTTGAGGATATTTAGATAAATTTACTTTTATTTTCCTACTTAAATTCAATCAATTAATCATTATAAGTCTCCTGATGCTTTGTGATTGATTAAACTTTTGTTTCCAATTCTGCCATCTTGTCTCAAATAATACTAAGATAGAGGAATACTTTAGATTTCATTAGATCTCATAGGAGAATCTAATTTTTCTACTTTAACAATCTCTTTGTTTTTAGGGGAAAATGGATGATGCAGGGAGATGAATTGACTTTGGAGTTAGAGAATTTGGGTTTCTTGAGACCTCAATTGCTCTTCAATTGGTCGTATAAATGCCTATATGGTATTTTCGATGATCTTTTCGATGAAGCATATAATCTGTTAGGTTAGTTCTTCCTTCTGCAATTCCTTGTCATTATTGACAGATTTACTCTTCTGCATTTTCTTGTATATATGATTAGAGATGATTACCATTTCAACCAAGGATTCAATTATACTCTCGAATTTAAACATTTACAATTATTATTGTTTACTTTAACTAATAAAATACACAATTATATTCAAGATGCTTTGATGTAAGAAGCAGCCTTTTACAAGAGACCTCCTGATTTCTTCTTCTCCACCTATTCATCTAAGTACTTCTACATTTTTTCGACTCTATCATTCACATCTCCAAGCACAACCCAACAAGCATTGCATTTCTCTAACAAATCAATTGCAATGTATACCTTTGACTTGCCTTACGGTATCATTGACTTTAGTATCATTTAATTCCTATTTGAGTTAATAAATTTTGTCATCAAATTGCGATAGCATCTCTAAAAGATAAACAACAAACCATACTTGATTGGATATCATCTGAAGTATTAAATATCTATATTGTCTATTTCATTTAAGCTCTAAATTATTAAACTATTATCATACTAGGTATCCATCAATAGACTAATCATGTTATCATGATTTTGTAATTTCTTTCTGACTCTATCGATTTCATCTGTTTCTATCTGTTTCCCACTCTCAATTACTTTTTCTGAAACTCCCACACTGCGCATTACTGGAGTAAACTGGAGATAGAGACTACATTTACTTGATTAAAACTCTTGATGACAAGTTCTTTGATCTTAGCCAAATCTGACTCCAATTGATCGATCTACTACTTGATAGGTTCCACCAATTCGTTGCAAGTGATCTTGGCCACTTCTGTGAATATGTTGGCTATGCTTGCCATCAACTTCTCCTTCTCAACCAATTTGTCAATTATGCATTCATTATTGTGATGAATGTACCCTTTCTATTATTGTTATTGTGCTTTCTTGCTTAAATACTGAGCCTATACATTATTTAGAGTACTTTATCAACTGCTTTCTCCACCTTCTCATCAAAATCCTTTTCAGTATACTTTTTCATCTCGTATATTGAATACGTATATTTTGAAAAGCAAAGAAAATATTTAATACTTTTTCAATTGATATACGAACATAATTATTTTTATTGAACAAAACTCATATAATTGCTTCGGGTTGAATTGAGATCATTCGTAACACTAGACTTGAATTTCAATCTGAGTTTGTCAATCGACTAATTATTGCTAACACTGTTGACTTCACTTTGATGATGATTTTTTTATGCGAATTGCTTTTACACATTCCTATAAGATGCCTAAATGACCTTCTGAATCTACTTTGCTTTCTTTTCTGGATTCTCCGATTTGAAAGCCTATTAATACATCAAAGACAAAACAAGATTATCCTTATGCACTCTAGGAAGTGTGCTAAGTGTATCCAAAACTGTCTATAGAGGAGGATTTTAGGGAATGTGAAGAGAAGGCAATTACCCAAAAGACTGATGGACATTCTCTGTCTTAATAATTGGCTAAGAAGACCTAGAAGTTAATGAAGTGAACTCCGTGCTATTTTCATTCAAAAGATCAGCTTGTGTCTTAATTGTGAATTTATTCCTGATGCAATTTTCATCATGAGATTGTTAAGCTGCTTGAGGTTTCTTCAATAATCTGGCTTAATACTATTGCAAAGTATTGCTATAGACTTTTTATAACACACTTTGATTCTGAGTATTAACTACTTTGATGCTCTTTAGATCTTCCTCTGTTATGTTTTATAATAGTTTCACTTGGGACAACTTCTAGCCTTGAGACTCAACCAATTTCTTATTAAGAATGTGCTTGGCTTAAAAATTTGGTTTATTCTATTAGACATCCTGAGCAGCCTTAAAGATCTGATAATAAATTATAATAAATTTACTTCATCCTATTGATGAATAGTCTACTAGGCAGTTTCACATTTTTTTTACCAATGCTTAAATATAATGTTCGAATTCTTTTTCATATTTTCAAAAATTTGATAATTACCTAGGTTATCGAAGAATTGTCTCTTTCTTATTCTATAGACGTGTAATTTTGGAGTAATAACTTTGGCCTTAGTGAATCGAGAGATCTTTAACATAATTTCAACTTCCCCAAATCCTTAAAATTATCCATAAGATGACAAAATTATTTGTTTTTCTCCTACTTTCTTAGATAATTCAATCTCTCCATCTATAATAAAGTAGATGTGTGTTGATTTATCATCTTCCTTAAATAGAATTTCACCAGCATGATGTGTAATCATTTTACATTCTAAAATTATACCCATGAATTCTTAAGGTTCAATAAACTAAAATAGTGGAGTTTTGGAAAAGTAGTTTATTTTATTATCTAATGCAGCACTCATATACGGATTAATCAACTCCAAATATGCCATCTCACTCAAGTATATTAAATGAGTCTATTCCAACGCATAAACTGTTGATGATCTTGCTGTATCCAACTTAATAGCTGCCTCTCCAAACGAACTTTAATAGCTCTTTATTTACATACTCTCCTTAAAACAGTACTTTCAATATTATGTAATCTGGGAACACACTGTTCAGTCCATAGGGATCCTATTCAGTCTTTTTAATGAGTTTTGATTGTGAATTCTCCAAGTAATCCAACTTGTTAGATCCAACCATCTTCTCTTTTGGTTTCATCACTACCACCTTCCCTTCCAAGATTATATAAAATCGTTTATTTTGATCTCCCTATCTATAAACTGGATTCAATTGAGGCACTGATTGAAACCTAACTGCATTCTAATAGATACCTAAATTCAGAGTAAATACGACCCAATAACTCAGGAGGCACTTCCTTCCTTATTTCCTTGATCTTTTTAATTTAACTTAATTATTCAATCAAAATGGATGATGTTGGTATTATCATATTGGTTAATGTTGCGATGCTCTTTCTCGAATATCTACGATAATAATTATCAGGATTCGAATTCTCAGTTATTGGTCTCAATCCTAACTCATTTCTTATTGAATCGATATCAATCAGTTTCTTTTATTTTTTTACATCTCTCTGCTAAGTTTACTTCTGTGCCCCCTTTAACATGTGCTTAGATTCACTATCCGAATCAGAATCGCTGGGTTACTGTAGAAAGTCAAAATTAGTTTTTGTTTGAATACTAAAGGATGATTGTATGTAAGAAGTCATTATATAAAAATATTTGATTTTTAATTTAATCCTTCAACTAGGTATTCTCCATGCTATACTATCCTATCCTATTCAATTATTTTATATACTCTTTGGTTTTTCAAAATATTTGGAAGGATCCAATTCTAGAATTGTGAAAAGAAACCATTAATCATTTATATTATCTATGATGATTTAATGAATCTATTAAAATAATGATAACTCAGATGTATTCTAATAGATTGTAGTATTAAATTTAATTTTTATTAATGATCATTCTTTTTTCTTCTTCTTCTTTTTGCCCTTCTTCTCCTCGAAAGGATTAACTAACATGGATTGTCCAACATCCATTAGTTTAGTGTTGAAGTCCTCTTGATAAGTAGGTACCATAATCCCAGCCAATAGAGAGTCGATTTAAATGGGAATTTTGTGTTTTGCAAATCTATTTTTGATATCCAAAACTTCCTATAAATTTTAATCATTCACTATTTTTGGACTATTTCTCTATAATAATTGAGAGAATTTGCTATGGAGTGAATTAGATCTAAGTTTTGTTGCATAAATGGACAATGATGATGGTTATTCATCAAGTTAAGTATCTGTGGCACTTAGATTCAATAGATCTTTGTATGCTCTCTTAGCATTTACCACTCTTTAAGCAGATGCTTTATTCTCCAAAAATGAAGTATCAACAGCCGAGTCATATTATCTATTTTGTGATTATACAATAATAGGTAATGGCTTTAGATTGATTACTTTAGAGTCTTACTAATTTTACAATCCAAGAGATAATGCTCTTCTTTTATCGACTTCTGCATATCTACTACCATAATATTGTGAATCTATTCTGCGATCAATCTCCTTTTCTATTCTGGCTTTGTTCTTAGACCAAACATTCATAGAATTAACAATCTCTTCATCCATTTTTTTCTCTGCTGCTTCCTTCTATCTAAATTAGATCCATCTATTTTATAGATTCAATTCGATTTCCTGATTCGATGGTTAATATAACTAATAGTTTTACTTATTCTCAAACTATTTATTTAAATCTTTAAATTCTAAATTAACATCATCTTTTTAAAATACTTTGATCTTGGGTACCATATTTATAAGTATTTTCTTCTTATCTTCAGTCTGCTCTTCATTCCCCAATAAGTCTCCATCTATAACAATCTCACCCTCTGTTTAATCCTAACTCTATTGCAGATTCTCATCCTATTCTTTTTGGTTTTACGAGATCACTTTAGGAAAGGTGCTCTTTAATTGAATTTGAGGCACAATGTTGTTTAATTGATTAAATTGTCTTCTTTTATATTACTTTAATCTAATGACTAATAACTTCAAGTACCTCAATTGTGGTGGATCACAATTCGTATGCATGGTTCTGTTCTTCTCCCTATAATCCCTAAGTTGATCATCAATTAATTTACTAGGCAAAGGCATTGACTAATCCTAATTTATAAATCTAGCATCATCACTCGAAGCTATGTTACCTACATCCTTCTCTTGTGTCTTTATGACTTCCCTGTTGTTCTACACAAAAAAACCATACACCTTTTCCAGAAATATCAACTAAGAATCCCTTCCTTTTGCGATTGCTGCTTCTCTTAATAAATTTACAATATTTTAGTAAAAATTATAACGAGTAGGCATTGTTGGAATTATTCTACCTTATTTCAAAGATGCTTAGATCTAAATAATGAATAAATTAGTGATTACTTCTTTATTGAAATTTTAAATGGATTTGATTATAGTGATAAACTTTTTATTATCCTCAAAGTGCACACTCTTGAGTTCTTCAGTATCGAATAGCTGGTAATTAAATCTCGTATGCCATAATCGTGTGCTATTGTAGAATTGCAGCTTCTCAGTGTCACTAATACTCGAAAGCACATGTGACTTTTCGAAAGCTGATTAATTCATTATTTTTATATATTTTTATTTTCTTAACTGATATTTTAAAAATGAACTCCAAACAACAACACATGACGGCTTGTCCAGCAATTTTGAAGGGAGATGATCTTCCTGATGATACTCCACTTAAGATGCAGAATTCCAATATCCCAAAACCTATTATTTCAAAGAAATTAATGCCTTAAGTGAATAATGAAATACTTTACGAAAGACTCAATTAAGAGGCTGAAATATTTAAGTAGAACAATTAAATGTTGAAGGAATATTACGAATCAGAAGAATTACGACCCTGCTCATTTGCTCCTTAAACCCTGAATGACGGTTAGGAAAAAAGATCACTCTATTAATTTTTATTCGATCAATAGAATCATGTTATGAAAGTAGAATAGAAGTTGGAATAAATTAAATAAAATGAATTGGAACGTGATCTCTAACACCCATATCATCCAAAGACTAATGAATTCAACTTTTCGAATAGAAATGAAACAATCCCTACTTATGAGAGATTGTACAATCTGAACTAAAAGAAACCCTCTGAACCATAGATGTAACAATCAGAATCTACTGTCGATTATAAGCCATTAATTTAATAGAAGTCACAAAACATAGTGCGTAATCAGAAGGTGGAGGACATCCTTTACCAAGATGCCCAAAGGAGATTATAGAAACAGAAGGAAGTACAAGATAAGAAAAATACAACCAAAGTAGTCACTGTGAATGTTAAATTCACATCAAACAATAGCGAGAAGATAGTGGCTCAAAAATTCATAAGAGAGTTCGAAACTGTAATAGATTGGATTTTTGATCAAACAGGATAAGATAGACCATCAAATGTATCATTCTCAATTGACTATCTCAAATTAGGAGAAATACTGTAACGTTTAGGATTTTTGAATCAATTGCAATTAAAGGAGAGCAATGAAAAGGCTGTTGAATTTGAGAATCTGCGTTTATCTGAAGAAAGAGCCTTATTATGCGAAATTTGGACTGTTTTGAGAGGAGATGAACTAGGTGGTATCAGCAAAAGGAACTTGTGTTTATTTTTGTTGACTTTGATTGGCATTACAGATTTTAAAATCAAAGAATTACCTTCTGCTTAAAATGAAGAGGTTCCTAATTACTAGAAATCCATTCAACCATAATAACATAAAATTGTTACTGCTCATTAACCTAATGATAGACCTAAGTTAGGAACTATTGATAAGGACGGCAATATCATTTTCACATTCGAAGAGACCAAAAAGATTCAAAAGCAATTCGATATTTTATATAGAAATAGATTAGGCTGTGAGGAATTGAAGAAAATTAATTGGAAGGATGAAAACCCCTATAAACCATAAATATTACCTTAATCAAAGCAATTGGCCAATTAGTTTAGAGAGAAAGTATTAGAATAGACAGCTAATCTAATTGATAATCAGTTGATTAAAGTAAATATACCTGAAAATGGATAAATTACACATGCAGATTTGTTGGTTTTACAAAAGAAAGCTGTAGAATATCACAAAGAATAGAAGAAATAAGAGATATTATAATAATAATTAGATAAATGTCCATTCAAACCATAATTGATGAGTAATAACAATTACAGTATTGATGAAAGGAAAAGTTAGTCAAAGAAATCTGAGAAATATTTGCAATTGTATTCACTGGCTAAGCCTACTACTTCAAAAAGAGACAGAACTACAGAAGAAATAGAATATGAAAAATAATAAGAAGAATGCACTTTCCAACCTGGTCTCGTTAACAAAGGAAGTTAATAACAGAAATAAGAGAATCATTTTGTAAATAAGGATGTAGATAAAACAGTGTAGAGAATGAGATAAGCTAGATAAAGAAGAGAAGAAGTGTAAGGCATGTTGGAAAGAGGATATAAGAGTAACAAACCAGTATAATAGTAACAACAATCCAACCAATAGTCCAACGTAAGTAGAAGCTAGTCCTAAAATCAATTGAAATAAACAACACAGTCATCAAGATAGAAAAGTCTACAATCATAAGAATCGCAATAAATGAATACTTTTTAATCATAGAATTTCCATATGGATGAGTCATAACCAAAGGAAGAATAGAGTGTCGTTAGATCTGGCAGTTGTAAGACAGTGGTTCTAATTATTATTTAGAGTAGGATGAGAGAATACCTTTGTTATTCGTTGATGTGAATCTAGGACCAAGTAAGACTGAGAGAATTGTTGTGTATGAAGGGGATTAGTCTTGTGATTTGGCTGCTCGATTTGCTCAAGAACACAATTTGGATGAGTTCATGCAAGATAAGTTAAAGGAATTACTTGACTACTAAATAAGTGGATTGCTTACTAAAATTGATGAAGAAGAAGGAGCCTTAAGTGATAATGATTAATGATTTATATATATATATACTAAAATATCATTGTTATGATTATCTAATTGATTATTTGCTAGATTCTTATGATTTTAGTTCCAACTCTCTCTCTTTATTTTAATACCATTAAACATATTGTTGATCATTTTTCAAATTTTCAATTCCTTATCTAGTCCACTAAGAGACCAAATTCTGATATACATCTGGCTAGTAGTGAGAATGTGTCATGTCATATTTCTCCTAATTCTCAAGTCTTTCCAAATCTCTAAAATCTCATTAATTTTTACCTTAGACTGAGAAAGAAGAATATCAAAATGATTGGGAATAATAAATAGATGGAGATTAGTATTCTTTGATCGTACATATTTCCAAAATATGATACGAATGATTCACTAGTCAAAGGCTGTTATTCCATTTATTGTTGTTATTTAAATTAATAATCACATAAATTATTGTCATTTTATTTTCATTAAAATTATATAATTTGAGAAATGATATCCATTTCATTCTAGAACTGATTCCCATTAATCTAGAAATGCTCCTCTTCATGGATACTATTGGCTTAGTATAATTATTAGAAAATATTATTCAAAATTAAAATTATATATATCTTTTAATACTTTATAATAGCTATTGTTCCTTAATAAATACTATAGTTTCAATATTGAATATTATTTAATTCTCATCTAATTAGAGACCAATTACTTAATTCTAAATCTGATCCTATAATATGTGCTAAAAAGACAAACAGAATTCAAGATCTTTGGAATGAAACATTACAATAATCCCTTACTTATTTAACCTCTACTCTAAAAAACTATATGTATCTTTGTTTCTTATGTGTTAAATCCTTACAAATTGTCATCACTCTTCATGTGTCAATTAGGTATTGAGTTCTTTGTAAATACAAACAGAGTATCCATAGATTTATTCATTGGTACTATGCAAGGTATCCAAAGTCAAAATGTTGATTGGTTTTGTAGAAGGGATGACCAAATCATTAAAGTCCATTATAATTATTAATATAATGAATCATAGGGCAATTCGGCCATCGAGTGCTTAACAAAATATATCTCATGTAAGTGACAAGAATGTCTCATTTCATAAGAAGTACTATATTTCATTCACTCTTAGCCCTTACAAGTAGCCAAATGTATAGAACGTTTCATAATACAGAGTCAAAGAGAGTGAAAAGTTATTTGAGGAGAGTCTGTAGCTAAAGTTGTTAATGAATTAATTGAAGGATGAGAATATTAAGCTAAGAACAAGAAACACAAACCTAGAAGTAATAGTGCAATCATCATCTAGAAAGACTTATAAAAATGTTAAAAAATAATAGAGGAAGTAGAGACTACTGGAAATATGAAACGATTTTATGCCAAACCAAGCACCGACAATCAAATGATTCTCAGTTTCAAAGGTTAAATTAAAGAATTGCGATTAAACCTTGATTAAAGAGAATAGGAAATGCTAGCTCTCAAAAAGTCAGCCAAATACACAAAACTCACGGAAATGGAAATTGAAAGGAAAATGCTATCCGATGAAACAATTCGATTGAAATAAGTTATTGATGAACTAGTTCAATAAAATTTATATGCCTAATAAAAAGAGCATGACTAATAAAAAATGTAGGATATGATTTCACAACGAGACAATCTTATTAAGCAGATGCAACTAGATATAGAATCATTTGAAACTGACAACAAAAATCTTTAATCCCAATTGCAGTAACTCATATCAGCCTATCAAGACCTTGATAGAGAATACGCTAAGTTAGATTAAAGCATGCAGAATAAATTAAAATCCAAAGATAAATAATTAATTGAACTCAAAACCCAGCTTACAAGATTGAAAGAGCAATATGATAAAGAAAAGAAAATGCTCCAACAGCCTAAATTTAGTCCTACTCTCAAAACACACAATAAAGTAGCTAAACGTATTCAAAGTGCTAAACCTCCTGAACAGATCACGAAACCAATCCAATTGGATGAAGTGACTCATATCATTTAGGAGATTAAATACAAATTGATTGCTTTGTCACTGCATTCAAAATAAATCGATACTTTACTATTCAATCAATCAGCCTAATAAACTACAATAGGATATTTGACTGAGAAGTTGATAAATGATCCATTTTTCCTAAATAAAACCGATGCTAATAACTTTGCTAGATTTTTGATTGAGTCTCCTGAATAAAAGTATCCCTACATTCCCAATCTCTCTATTGCCTAAGACAACGGATTGATAAGAGGCATGTTCTTTAAAGCAATTGGGTTTTGGGCTTGCTATGATAAAGTTGAAAAGAGAGTATTGGAATCCAGTTTGGCTAAACTATTCAAAGGATCCTTAAGTTAAGTAGAAAAAGTTATGAGTAGGAATGTGTATACAAAAAAGGATTTTGTTGTTTAAATTTTAAAAATCCTATCAAAAAAACAGATTAGAGAATTGGAAATCACTTATTTAATTTCAAAAGTAAATTGTATTTCCATCATTAGATCATACTGCAATCAAAGAGTCTGAATACTTTAAAAGGAGATGCACTTATAAATTACCTAAGAGAACTAGATAAGCTTGACGATGATGAAGATATCAGAGCTGAAGAATTGCAATAATATTATGATAGTCTAGGGTATTTACAATTTAAATTAATTAAATTAGATAAGAGAAGGGTTTCTTTTTTTATAAGTAATTAAGAAGCAAACAAGAGTAATTGATAGCATTGTTGGAGACCAAGGAAGACAAAGTGGAGGAAATAGAAACTAATTAACTTAACGATGGAGCCCCCTAGAAGTCAGTTTAACAATATATAATAAAAGGAGGACTAGTGAGAAGCCATTCTGATCCAGATCCCTTACAAATGCTTCAAATCTAAAAGGATGAGGAAGAAGCAGAAGAAGAGGAGAACTATGAACAAGAGATGTAATAGGAATACTTAAATTAACAAAAATCATAAAAAGATAAATATCCATTTAATTTCGATGAACAAGAGGGTGAATATGAAAATAATGAGGAAGAGAATGATGATTATTAGCCTGATTTAAATAATGCTTAGATTGATGAATAAGATTAATAAGAGGAAGAGGATGATGATTACAACATCAACGTTGATGGAGTCTTTGAGGAAGATAATGATGATGAGAATGATTAATGGGAGAAAGTAGAAAATAAAGGAAACTTTCCAGTTCGATAAGAGTAATTATTGTGTTTATAAACAGTCGATAAATTCCAAACAGTAGACCTACATCCAGTTATGTAAATAAGGTTAATAGAAGTAATAGTGATGTCAAGGCTAGTTTGGCTTCAGAATTGCATCCTACTAAAGAAATTAATGAAGAAGGTATGTTATTTTAATTGAATTCTTAGAATATATGGAAGAATAATTTGAAGAAGAAAATTGATATATAAATTTTATATAAATTAAAATATGAAACGAACAAAGGAAACCATTTTCAGAGAGCATCCTGATTGGCAATAAAGATAAGGTGTTAGTGGTCTGAAAGAATTTGATGGAGAAGATTTATGTAATTCATAATAGTAATCCAAAAGAATTTGATTCCCGTAATAAGTTTAACAAGGATCAATAAAAATAGTGGATATTCGAGTAAATTGAAGAGAAGAGAAGAAGATAAGAATAAGAAAAGGCAGAGGAAATGGCATATGCTCAATAAACCTTAGAAATCAATAGATTCAGGGGAATGTTATAAGATAACTTTGCATCTAGGAAGACTGATATGGGTGTTGCCACCAAACAAACAAATCTCCAATTAGTAATCATTCTTTCAATTTATTATTAGGCTAAGGAGAAAAAAGATAAAGAAGAAAGAGAAAAATAAGAAAAATTGGCCGCTGAACGTGCTGAAAGAGATTTATTACTTGAGCGTGGTCGTAAATAACCATATCAGGGATGATCATCATAAATATGTTTCATCTTTTCATATCATAATTAGTTATATTATTTAATCAAATTATAAGTTTATTAAATATAATAATTAACTTCTTTGATTCTCTGGAGCCAAGATAATGAAATAACTTGAATCAAAATTTGTATTTAATTCAAATGCTCTAATTTTACTACCTTAAATCTATTATTCTGAGATAGAATGCTTATCTAAATTTTAAAGTTTCATTCTGAAAGTTATTATTTTAAAGTATAATTTCTTAGATCATGCAATTTAATACCATCCATATAAATTATCAAAATTGAAAGTAATCTATTATCAATCTAATAGAATTTAGCGCTAAAATGCAGTTCAAGAATTTTCAATCGATTAATTTTAATATTAATATGAATTAAAATAAAACGAATTTATATGGAATTTTGGTAGATATTTCAGGATCAATGAAATATCCCTATGAAACAATCGAAAAAGGATCCAACTTAGACAAAAAAATACTATAGCCTAATGAATCTCGATTGGCTTCTGTCTTGTAAATAATTTAGGGGGCTTTAGGGAAACATGATTTAAAAGATGACCATCTTTTTTTGTCAGCTTTTGGATGCTACCATGATGTTGAAGTTATAGATTTGGTACCTTTCTTAAAATCCATAATCAATATCGTGAAATTAATAATTACAATAAGAGGGCTTTAATAATATAGCTAAAATTGTTATAAAGATTATCCTAAACTTTTATATGATTTAGTAGAAGGGAATGGAGCTAAAAATTTATCCTAATTTTATAAGCTGCAAGAATTTAGGACCGATATTTCAAATATCAAGGCACAGTTATTATATAATGAATTCAAAAGGAATAAAAAATAATTAAACTCATTTATAGAAAAACTGCCAAAATAAGTGAAAATGACAAGCAATACTTATAGTGCCCAAGCTCTATTATTAGGAAGGAAATTTTAATCTACTTTAAACCCTATTATTTCAAAAAAACAAAAAAAGATTTAGCAGTAATTACTTAATTTGGATAATTGTATTCCATTTGATTATTTTTTTGGCAAAATTTAGGAATGCTTACAACCTATATTAGACGAGATTTAAAAGTTAAATAATAAAAATAATAACAAAGCTGATGATCTTGAGAATAAACTATAATAAATTCTAGAAAAAGTAAAGAATTAATAATAATAAAAATCAATTGAATATTTATAAGATAAATTGAGAGAAATATAAAACATTTAAGAAAACATTATACAAGTTTTGAAGCAATACAGTTTTATTCCTAATGATTTGATTAATGAACAAATAAACCTAGAAAAATTCTAGATTATCAGCATAGAAGAAGTAGTAAAAGACATTAAAATCGAGGAATATCAATCAAAATATCAAATGAAAAAGGAAGATTTAGATTTTTTTAAGTCATTTGAATCGATTTGCTATGGATGTACTCCATTGAAGAAAAGTTTGGAGTTGACTTTAAAAACTGCATTCTTAGAATTCAAAAATAAATTCTTGTTTATTGTATCTGATGGAGACTCAACTGATGGTAATCCTGTAGAGTATGCGACAGAGTTAAAAAACAAAGGATTTATTATATTTTGTTATTATATTAGTTCTAGTAACAGTGCCTCGAGTAAAACTAGTTGTATTCAAAAGTAGAATATATTAAGGGAGAAGGAGCCAAGACAATGTTTGAAATAAGTTCTGAATACTCAAATTTTGAGTTTCCTTTACGATAAATAGAAAATTATACAAATATCAAATTATCTTAGGATGGCAAAAGCAGATTATTTTTATAAAGTAATAATTCAGAGTCATTTAAATAATTTCTTGATTATTTCATGAAAATCTCGAAAGATAATGATAAATTGATTGAAATCGCTGGGAGAATTACAATAGAAAAGTAAATGAGTTCCAGTAAAGGATTTTAACCAAAGCGATAAATTGGAGGAACATGTTATGCAACTTCTATTGCAACTGTCTATTCTATAATGTTGTAAAAGATTTATAAAAGAGAAGGTGATTACCCAGGCTTCTTTCGAATAAGGGATCTATTAATACAAGAGTATGGGAAACATGGGGCAATCACCTCTAAGGTTGTTTAAGAAACTTGCTCATACTATAGATTGCAATGTCGCAAACTAAAATCTATTAGTAAAATCAAATAAGCTTTACATTAGTAGAGACCAATCATTGCAAGATTTGCTTTGTGTGACGATTAATGGAATGCTAATACTGAGAATCAGATGGGATTTATACCTTTCTTTGAAAGAAACCCATTTGGTATTTTGACTACTGTAGGGCCGCAATCAAACAAGAATATAGGAGGACATTCAGTTGTTTTGTACTCCTATACTGAAGATTACTACTTATTTATTAATTCATGGGGAACTAGTTGGGGAGATAGAGGGTTTTTTAAAGTATAAAGTTTGGATGTCTTAGGTGAAATGGAGTTTATAGAGGTTTTTTGGGAAACAACTGATTTAACGGAATCAGAAAAAAAGGTATTTAAGGAGGATGCTGGATAAAAAATGAATAAGTTTTACTAGAATTACTTAAGTTCAATTGGAAATATCAAATACACTTGTCCGAAATGTTTTTAATAATCTTTTATAAATTAATATAAAGGAAATTATTATGATGCAGAATGTCCAAAATGTAACTAGTAATTTCATTCAGAATCACTTGGTTCATTATTTGTAGACTATCTAAATGGCAAGAATATTTGATTGACATTTAATAATTACTACCCTATGTATAAATTATTTATATAAATTAATATTATATTCTAATATGATCAAATCATCAAATAGCCTAAGATGAATGTTAATAATAACCCTTAAGCCGTATTAGTATTATTTGTATCATTGATTGTATTATTGATAGGACCATTTGGCTAATCTTTTTTGGTACAAACTTAGCATTTGTTTGCTGAACTATTCCATGTATATGTATATCCTGAAAGTTTAAAACAATCAGTTTATATTAATGTTGATGGATCAGTGGCTCTACATATTCCATTAATCATAGAACATATTTATTATGATTATTTATCCCAATTAAAGAATCTTGAACAAGTTCCACTCACTTAATTATATGTACCACATGTATGATTTGTACATATACTTGTAATACTAGAACTAGCTGCACTCCATGAACATCTATCTTATGCAGCTACACAAGCACTTTAATCATTATTTGCAGATGAACATGAATTCATTAAAGTACAAGTTCCACTATCAGCTACAGCCTATGCAGAAGTTGATTATGTAAATACACAAATTCCATCTAATCCACCAAAATTGCATGCTGTTTTAGTTGTGTAACTTGAACATTTAGCCTTTGGGATACAAGACAGTTCCATTTGTGAAATGCAAGATGGTAAAGCAGCTTAACAAACATTAATGGATGTTCCCATTTTGAATATCAGCACATGAAAGTAATCTACATTTGGCTGTATTATTATTTGAATCAGAACCAACCTCCCAAAAGCAAAGTCCATCATTTCCAACAGCTGTTGAACAAATAATTTAGGTTGAATAACTAGAACAATTTGTTTTAAGTAAACATTTAGTACCATCTGAAGTACATGTTGATAATTAAGAATTACAAATTGCATGAGTAACACCATTCAAATCAGAGCAAATTTAATCTCTACAACCACTTGTACTCAAATCCCATGTACAAACACCTGTTGAAGTTATAACACCAGATTCAACTACAGATCCTTTATCATTTATCTAACATCCTGGTTAGGATTTATATGTTGAACATGCACCTAAAGGAATGCAACCCGTAGTTCCATCTGTTGTGCATTTTTTATTAGCAATTTAACAATCTTTATGAGTTGCATAAAAGGCATCTGCACATGATTTAAATGGTTTACAAATCTTAGGATCAGAAGAATTCAAAGCAGGAACTAGATTAAATGCAAGATCCATCATACCCTGTAACACATCCACCATCAATATTTGTCTCAGTACATGTAGTTAATTCCAATACAATTAGTTCCATTTGTTGTACATTTATTACTTATCAATTTACAAGATTCATCATTATTCCAAGCTAAACTCTTGCATGATGTATAAGTAAAACAAGCTCCTTTCGAACCATCACTATTGACAAACTTCTCAATCCATAAACATGGTCCATTTGTGCCTTCAATAGAAGCTTCTCTAATAGTAGTTAATTCACAAGCTTTAAACTCTAGCACATCTACCATTTGGTCCAGCAGTACATCCTTATCTTTAAGTCTAACAAATGGTGTGAGTTGTTCCTATAAAATCTTAACAATCTTTATCTCTACACTCATTTAATGTATAATCCCATGCACATATTGTACCATTTAATGCAGTTATACAAGCAGCATTTACAGAGGCAGCAGAACAACTTGGATTTAGTTACACACCCTCCTCCACTTTTAGTTGTACAATTTGTAAAATACTTTGTACAATCTACATCTGTTCATAAACTAATTGGGGCAGTGTTACATCTCTTAATTGTACAATATGCTGCAGTAGTTACAACATTTTAAGAATTTACGACATCTCGCATCCATTCACAACATTATCCAGTAGAAGATACAACACATCCTGCTTTCTCTTAACCTTAAACACATGTTCCTCTCGCTACACAATTAATACCATTTCTTGTACATGTACATAACGCATAACTACATTATTCATCTGTTCTTAAAACATAGTCTTCACATAATTTAATTTTGCATCTTATAAATATCTATTGTACATCCATATAAATAGTTATTGCATTATTCAGCTGTAGCTGTTTCTTCAGGTGCGTTTTCACAAGTCTTAGTAATACAATAATGTTCCAGTCCAATAACATGGTTGTCCAGTACTATTGTAATAACATTATTTCTGATTCATTAATTCACAAATCTCTGGAATATCTATACATCCTTATCCATCTGATGAGACTGTACATTTATTGTTGAGATAGGCTTTACATTTTGCATCATCATCAAATTCTGATGTTGCAGGAGCAGTAGAACAAGATTTATCATTACATTCTTTTCCATTCCAACCACAAGGATCTCCAGCAGCATTGATTCTTGCAATACTCAATACCTATAACTTAAGTTGAACAGCCAGCAGTTTATTAACATCCTCTTAGAATTGGTTATCCACCATTAGCATCTGGACTAGCATACACTGTACATTTGATACTTGGTGTATTATAATATTTAAAGCAGTCATTGTGAGTTAATGTTGATAGTTAAGGAGCAGTTGTACATGACTTATCCTAACAAGCAGGTTCAGGTAAACTACTATTTGTATTCCAAACACAATCTATTCCACTTGCATTAGTTATGCATTAATCTTTAATTGTATATGAACTACATGGTCCTCTTGCCATACAACCAGGAGCAGCTACTTTATTAAGTGCTCTGATTGTACAACCTAGATTTGAATCAACTGCAAAGCATTTAGCATGAGTATTATATAAATTTGAAACTTCTATATTTGCACAAGCCAAATCAACACATGTCTTAACAGATGGATTCCAGAAACATTTTTTATCATTCATATCTAATTTACATTATAATGATGATTTATATAATGAACATGCAGTTTCTTACTTGACATCCACCTGCTCTTGCAACTGTACAAGCCTATGAATAATTAGAACATTCTGTATCATCATCATGAGAAGCATCTGATGGAGCTGTATCACATCCTTTTCTAATACAAATAGAATTAAACACTAAGACACACTCCCTCTATTGCATTTAGACATTAAGTAGATGATTAATCTGAACATTTTGCAGTCATGATAGTGCAACCATTATTAGTCTAATTTACTGTACAAGTTTTCAACCAAGAATAACAATTATCATGATTAAATGTAAAACCTGTGGCATTTGCACAAGTTCTAGCCATACATCCTGTACTTCCATTTACAGTACATCCAGCTTTGATTGCACTACAATTATCATGAGTATAATTGCCTGTTCCTAAAAATACTGTTTCACAAGTAGATGAACTTGAGGCAGGCACACATGCTGAATCATTACTAGTGGATGCAATACATAATCCTTCTCCTGCTTGATAGCAACCTGTCATTGCAGTTGAATATCCAGAACATTATGCTGCTTTTTAAACACAAGCAGTTTTGGCTCTATTAACACTGCATCCCAAATTATATGATTAACAAATTTCATAAGTTAATGATACACCTGTAATCTTAGCACAATCGGTAGAAACATTTAAAATAGTAATACAAGTGCTTTGAATTATAGAGGTAGCATTTTCCATTTACAGAATAAGTACAAGATTCAGTTGTTCCTAAATACTATTCGCATGTTGACTTATAATCTTAACATGAAGTGCCATCACTTAATGAGGTGCAGCCTTTGTTATAAGAGAAACATATATTATGATTCAGATCAGCCCCAGTAATTGTATTACAAGTAGTACCTGTTATTTTGTAGCAAGAATTTTCATACCATAAACAGGAACGTCTCATCAGCCTATGCAACACATGAAATTCTAAGTTGTATAATTCTTACAAATCTGTCTAGGAGTGTTAACATCCAGTACCATCCTATAGATTAAATACATTTACTATGATATAATTTACATCATGTCAAGGTTTGAGTCCCTGTCTTTCCATTCACTAAGCTGCATTAAGTAGAAGGATCTGAGATAGAAATGCATTTTAATGCTTCATCCCATATGCAATCTGCTGAACAATTTTCTCTCAAAGTATAACCTGAACAACTGATCTCTTTTACTAACAAGCAGTTCCTGAATAATTAACTGTGCAATCAGGATTATATAAAGCACATATATCTTTGGTCAGATTGCTACCAGTTACATAAACACAATCTGTAGAAGTATTGGTGACAGAAGAGCATTTAGAATGCCAGACACAATTACTTTATGGTCCAGAATCTTACGACCTAGTGCAATTGTCACTTTTTGTATACTCTGCACAAGTGTTTTTCATTTCCTAACAAGAGGTTCCTGCTTTATTTACAGTACATTTATTATTATAAGAGACACAAATATCATGAGTTAAATTTGTACCAACTACATATACACAGTCAGTAGTTGGATCACTAACAGAAATACAACTAGATTTCCAAATGCATTTAGAACCTGAGGAAACAGTACATGAATCCTAATTTTGGTAATCTGTACATAAGCTCTTTTTATCTTAACAAGCAGTCCCAGCTTTATTTGATGTGCAGATAGAGTTATACCCAGAGCAATCGGAATCACTCAAACCTGAAGTTGCAGTAATGGCTGCACAATCAGTTAACAATCCTCTTACAGGAACACAATTTGAATTGAGATAAACACACCAATCGAAAGGAGGTTCAGCAGCTGATCTTACACAAGTTTCTTTTGTTGTATATTCCCCACAAATGGCTTTTTTTACTTGACAGCTAGATTAATATTTATTGCTTGTGCAACCACTATGATAAGATTCGCAAGAAAGATTAAAAAGTTACTTCGGAATATATTGACAGTCAGTAGCAGGATCTGTTACCGAGGTGCATTTTTCATTTTTCATGATGCATCCAGCTTTAATACATTTAAAAGAATCTACATATAATGAACAACTTTTTTATATTTCTTAACAACCATTTAACTCCAAACTTGCAACGCAGCCAGCATTAAAATTAGCGCAAATGGCATCTGTTGTTCTAAAAGAGGTGTCTATCAAAATTGTATCCATATAATCGCATTGACTTGGAGATGTTATTTTATAACAGTACTAGTACTACCGTGTGCTAACGTCAAGCATTG